AAAGTGGTGTGATGAAAACAAGATATATTCTTTCAAAATGTTTTGTTCAAGATGTACTTAAGTTTCCTAAGTGTAGCGATGTATTTATCAGTTTTTGTCAAAATGTCACCAATGTGAGAGTTCCAAGTACCATTACTGTTTATAACTACTCCTAAGTGTTTGTGTTTGTTAACGATAGGAATGGGTGTTGTCAAAGAGAAATTGTGGGTTAGAAGGTATATTTGTGTTGGAAATCAGGAGTATTTCAGTTTTAGTTCGATTGAAGCTCATTTACCATTTTTGAGACCAAAGATTCAGCTGTTCCATGTGGTAGTGTATTACCTGTTTTAGATCATGTAAATGTTTAGAAGAGTATGCTAATGCAGTATCGTCAGCGGAAAGTCTAGTAATAGATAAAAGAGTGTTTGAAATATCGTTAATGTATACAAGAAAAAGAAGAGGGCCAAGAGCAGAACCTTGTAGAACCCCGGCGTTAATACATACTTCTCGAGAGACAATATTTCTAAGGACAACTGATTGACGTTTGTTGCTTAAATTGTTTTTTATCCATTCTAAGACTTTACCCCTTATCCCATATTTTCCTAATTTAATTAACAAACTTTTATGCCAGACTCGGTCAAACGCTTTAGAAAAGTTACAGAAAACAAGAGCTGTAGATTCGTGATTCTCTAGTGCTAAAAGTATATTATGGTAGAGTTCAATAAGTTGGCGAGTCGTAGAGTGATTTGGCAAGAAGCCGGGTTGTAATTTGTATAGAAGATTATTAGTGAAAAGGTAGTTATAAAGATGTTTATGGATTAATCGTTCAAAACGTTTGCCGATGGAGCTAAGTAAAGAAATAGGTCTGTAGTCATTTGCCAATTCAGGTTCCCTCTTTTTGAATATAGGTGTCACGTAAGCAAGTTTCCACGAATCAGGAAAAACAGAAGTACGAAACGATTTGTTGAATAGAATGGTGAGTGGTGTAGCTGTTTCACTAGATATCATTTTTAACATTTTATGACTTATGCCATCGGGGCCAGCTGCTTTGTTAATTGTAAAGTTAAAGTAGGATGTGACGTCATCGGGGTCATCAAGGTCAGAGACAGATTTAATGAAGTTATTTAAGATATTGGATTTTATATAGTCATCGGTAGTTAAGTGTTTGTTAGAAGGATTTAGTAAGGGAGGTATGTCGGTAGAGGTGTTACCTTTAAAGAGCATGCGCATTAGTTTCCAGTATACTTTCGGATTAGCTGAAATGTTACGGATGAGACCATCAACATTATCATAAAAATGTGTTTTAGCATATTTAAGCATGTTATTTACTTTGTTTCTTGCACGTTTGTACTTTGCTTCTGAGTGTGCGGTTTTAACTCTGATAAAATACTTCCTTAATCTATTTCTCCGCTTAATTTCTTTTCTTATATCTCCGTTCATCCATGGTTTGTCATTTTTATTTACAGTTATAAGTTTTTTAGGAATATGTTTCTCTAAAATGGAAGTAAGTTTTTCAGTGAATAAAACACATTTCTCGCTCACATCATCAGTGACAGAAAACAAATTTACCCGGTTTACTTGTCTAACAGTTTTTAGGGTTTAAACTATCTGCTCTACTGTATAACCATATTTTAAAAAGTTTTCGGTTTTGGTTGATAGGACAATAGAGACACAATGACAGCTCTGTGATCACTTATAGTGTCCAGAACAGGTACAACGATGGATGAATCGGAGGATATAGTATCACTAATATAAAATGGATCGATGAGAGATTGTGTAGTGTTTGTTACTCTAGTCGGACGTGTTACCAGGTTAGTTGGATTGTATTGTTGTTTAATGAAGGTGAGATCATTGTTATTTCCAGTAAGTAAGTTAATGTTAGTATCCCCTGTCAGTATAATATGAGGTGTATAAGCAAAGGCTATATCAAGAGAATGTTTCAGCCGTGTCCAAATTCCAGAGTTTTGCCATGAAGGCTTATATAATACACATAAAAGATATTTCTTATTATCAGAACAAAATTTAATCCAAATCATTACGTCGTGTGGTGATTCAATATCAAGCCTGCGTTCTGGAAGTATGTCATTGGTTGAAAATATCATAACACCACCACCAAAAGCGTTCCTATCTTTTCTAAAAATAATTGGAAGTTTGTAAGAAGAAGGTCAAAATCAGGAATGGAAGAATTGGGACACGTTTCTGTTAGACATAAGATGTCTATATCATCAGTGAAACTCTCAGGAAAATCTAGTTTGTTTCTAACACTACGAATGTTTAAATGCATTATTTTTGAAGAGTTATCATCAGAAAATGAAAAAAATGTATTATCGGAGTCGTGAGAAGAGGAAACTATTTGTTGGCCCCGGCTTTGTGAGTATGTCTCCCGACAGAAGTAAAATCCAAATAAAAACTAATGCAATGTTGTTTGGATTGTTGTATGCTTGTAGAAAAGATAGAGAGGTAAATACTAGAGGCACATGTACAAACTGTAACTTAAAGATATCATAGTAGGAATATTTCGGATTGCGAAATCTGTGTGCAATGATTAGTTCAAGGAATCTCCCTTCGTTGTGTTGTTAGACGACGTCAAATTCTCGTAACTGTGAAACAGCTGTTATTTTAGCTCCGAGTGGAAATCGAGTAAGATTGAATTATATATACTCCGACATGGAGGTTTAAAAACCTTCCTTTCATGTAAGAAATTTTCATTAATAGATTAGATTTAGATTTTAGATTTAAACATATTTATTGCCCAAAATTGAGCAGAGGATTAGGCACAAGTTATTTTAACTTATGACCGCCTTTTCCTCTAATACAATAAATGATAATATTTACATGATAACATTAACAAGGCATACATAATATATTTAACAGTTAGTACATTTTACTTAAAATCTGTTGCTGGATCTGATAAAAATTTGCACGTGTCTGAATACTTCTGTATTGGTAATTAGGGACAGATTTTCATTTCCAAATAAAAATAGATGTAAATTCACTTGATCTATATTCAACATGTTTATACTTTGAAAAGCGTTATTCTTACTCTATTATAAAGCTTACATTCTAGGAAAAAAATGACTAACATCCTCACAGTAATGTTCACAAGCACACGATGGGTTATCAACAATCTTAACACGGAACAAATCACTTTACATTAATAGATATAAATCTCGCGTAGTTACTTTTAATCTCTCTAGATATACAAACGGTATCTTAGTATTTTAACGGGAGTGAAACTTCAGCTCGGAAGATTAATTATATTATCATAATTATGTGTTAAAACGGCTGGCTACAACCCAAATTTTAACATTACGGTTTCTAATTTGCCCTGAACTCGCCGAAAAGAAATAAAATTTATCATAGTGTCAGATTCTATGTGGGTTTAACTGCAATTAGTTTTTTCTGTCATCGCTACAATGTACAGATAAACGACCATATTATTTATGTGTTTTTCATCTTTAATCTTCATAAAGATAAAAAAAACCACTTTGACATGTTTTAAATGAGGTCGAAAATTAATATGGTAGACAAAAAAAAAACGTGAAATGGAGGAAACCGTTTTATAGCGTCATTTTCAATTCATGACGTAACGGTTAACGTCAATGTCCATATGATGACATCAATGAAAATTTCAAGGGAATATATAGTCAACAGGCCCGGCGGAAGCAATTTGACATTGGGGGGGGGGCTGACATACATAATTAAGGCAGGGGGTATGGGGGCCACCTTTAGCCTCCCACCCCCATTGGGTCCAGGGCAAAGACCCTTAAGCTGGTGGATTTTAGCATTGTTAAGTTGCAGATTTAAAAGCTTAAGTACACATAAAAACTTTGTTTTCAACCATGTTTTTTTGTAAAATTGCTCAAATTGTGATGATGACAATAGTAAATTGCAAATCATTACCAATGCTGTGAGTGAACGGTCAGCATCAGCATTAAGCGGAATCAAAAGGGATTAAAAAATGCAGGGTGTCATTATTTGCAATATCTTGCGAACGCGTTGTTCAAAAACAATGAAAATAGGTCAAGCAACTCTCTAGGTCACAGTTCACGTGGACATGTATCGAATGTTGCATTATTGTAATGCGTGACGATGTCTTCCGGGGAAAGCTCGAAACGGGAAAATCTCGTGCACAGAACTGTTATGACATTGAGTTACACTGCGACCATTTGGTAGTCTTCATTGAGAAACATCATTTTTCGATATTCTGATTAATTTCTGAAAGCATTAAAAATGGCTGACGGAAGTTCAGAGGGGTCAAGCCATTGCGATGGTTATGCAAGTTCAAAGACAAATACAGGCTGCCAGACATTTTGGTGTCTAAGGGAAATTGAGCGGGTTGCTGCCAGACCTACAGTGAAGGTCTGGGCGTCCGCGCGTGACGTCACAACGCCAGGACAGTTATATTCGTCTCGGTATTGACTAGCCAGCTCCCACAATGAGTCCATTTCGATTTCAGATTACAGAGTTCTCTTTCAACTTTATTCAATTACTCCTAAATCACTTACCAGATACAAATCGTTGATTTTGCAGCTTGTTCCGTATGAATTAACTCCAATTCTTATTTGAAATATTGAACATTATACTCGTCGTCTTGTCTAGAATTATCTTCAAAGTTTACCCTGCATTTCTTTATCTCTTGAATATACTTCCAATATACACTGCTCGTAGTTTGTGATATACACAGAAAATGTTCCGTGGTCAAATTCACTGAATAGCACATGATAAATATGTAATACCACGGACTTGATAATATATACAACTATATTTATAAAGGCCATTAGCCATACAACTAAAAACGTGTAAAACACCACTGGATAGAAGTTAATCAATACATTGTATTACATAATGCGAATCAGAAATGGATTTTTTAACCCACAGGTTGCGGATGTTGAATGAGGGTGTAACAAACCAGAGTTGTCTCCCGTAGGAAAACCCCCGAGATGACAACACGTAAGAGTAACTTTGAACCAATGAGAACGAGCCACGCTTTGCTCTCCGGGTCAGTATAAACGTGGAGAAATCACCGGTAACTGGAGCGGTGTGAAACTGAAGAAAAGGGAATTCTATCGTTGAAAGCAGAAAATAAGTCAACATGCAGGTGTTCGGTAAGTGTCAATGCGGTACAACATTTGACGAATTCTTCTTTGTGGTGCAATTTGTGACCCGAATGTTACGTCGTCGACAAAACGAAACTGGGCCGTTCGAGCTGTCAGATGTGTTACGGACCTATGGTCCCTTAGTGTTTCAATGTTTTCGTTTGAGTTGATGTGATTCGTCATTTTACAGCCGTTCCTGCAACTCACCTGCATCGTTATTGAGACACATATTAAAACCTGTTTCGTCTACCAGAAGATAACTGATATCGGTTGTCTCACATTGGTTTTCTTTTGTCGTACATGCTACGGGATCGCACGCTAGGTACCTATAGCTAGATATTTCACCCCATTGAAGATAAAATTAGGAACCCCAAACCTCAGGAAAAGATCGTTGCAAACACTCAATCTATCTCTTACCCTGGTGGCCTTCATAGTATAGTCCGAATAAATATACAGATGGACTCCGGCTATCTCTTACCCTGTTGGCCTTCTGAGTATAGTCCTAATACAAATACAGAGGGATGGAAAGATAAGAAAGCTTTCAAATAACTTTCAAATTTGTCAAAGCAATTAAATACATTTACAGATGAACGGGAAAATGTGACAGCTTTCTAATAACTTTCAAATTTGTCAAAGCAATTAAATGTTGTAAACTGAATTATGTATTTCTTCTCATTTTTTCCCAGCAAATTTCCTTTCTTCTACAACAGAGTGCCTCATGTCTTGTAAAGGTAAACCTACCAATAAACAAACTTTGTGAGGTTTGAAATGAAAAGTCTAGAGGGTTTCCACAGGTTCATCAGGTTTGATGAGGTTGTATACATGTATAAAATTAACATGAACTACAATAATGCTGCTATGCCATGGTTCATAAGAATACATAAATAAAAATAGTCAGTAATTAAGTTGAATATGATGTTAATTTGTTGTTATAAAGATATACTTCTGCTTTATTTATTTAATTTACTGATGATTATTATATCCCCACTTTACCTCAGCTTCCTGGACTTTGTTTTAGTCCCTGTGGTTTAGTCTGAGAACAAAAACACATCTGTAAAATCAAAACACACCAACAGCACATGGGTATACTTAGTGATCACCCAAATGGTTGAAAGAGATTGTCACTGAATATATACTGACAATGAGCACATGACATGAGATTGACAGAGCTTATAAACAAAATGTGTACATGACACTTCCTTTATCCATTTTGGTGTTTTTAGTTAAACTTTGCATTTGACTTCAAATAGATCAACGGGGCATAACTTGAGTTTTGCAAATATGATCTAGGTTTAGTAGAAAATATCTCTGATTTTTATCAGTGGAATAAAACAGTAAAGGCTTTCAGGAAAAAAACAAGTTTCTGGTTTCTCTCTGCTAGACATATGGGACATATACCAGAAAAGTCTTGGAGATCCAGAAATTTATGATATCCCACAAGCTCAGACTTTACCAGTATGTTCAACAATATCTCAAAGGTTACAGCAGGCTTTAGAAATATTTGGTGTTATATCAATCAATATCTATGTCCAGTTTGCTTAAATAGAGTTGGTTGAAATTGAGATGGATTTCTAATTTTGATTCTTTTAAATTTTTTTTCAGTTTTGGCCTTAGCTGGCATGTTGTCAACAGCAACAGCTATGTACTCGGCGGGTGACAGTGTCGTTGAGTTAACACCTGCCAACTTTGATAAGGAGGTGATGAGGAGTGATGAATTGTGGCTCATTGAGTTCTATGCTCCATGGTAGGTTATTTAGTACAGATTCACTATCTATTAATGGTAGGAGAAAGCAAATTTTAAACAAAATGTTTGAAATCCTGATTGCTAGATTTAGATTTGAGGAATGTTGGGAGACAGAAATGGTGTTTACAACAATAGAATATTTATATGAAAAGTTGTTTGTGTTACAGTAATTAAAGTAATGACTTTTTACAGGTGTGGTCATTGTCAGTCCCTGGCTCCTGAATGGAAGAAAGCAGCTAAAGCCCTGAAGGTAAACTTTGGTCCCTGAACCATACATAACCACATTTTTCTTCTCTTTTTATGCTCCTACACAGCTTTTATATCAAGTCATATCAAGATATCTAATCGTTTTTTTTTGTCAAACAGAATTTTTTTCTATACATAACTATCACATGTTTTCGTCATAATTGTCACTGTCATATTTTCAATTACACAGGGTGTGGTTAAGGTGGCTGCTGTAGATGCTGATGCTCATGGACAACTGGGTCAGAGATATGGTGTTCAGGGATTCCCCACCATTAAAATTTTCGGGGCCAATAAAAACAAACCAGAGGATTATCAAGGTGGACGTACAGCTAATGCCATCATTGATACAGCAATGTCGAAGGTCAAGGCCATGGTGAATGACCGTATGAGTGGCCGAGGAGGTAGCAGCGGTGGTGGAAGTGGTGGTGGATCACAGGTAATTTTAAACAGTAGCATTTTCTGTTGATATCCAGGGCTTTGTTGAGGACTGTTTGGGACTGATAATCAGATTCATTCCAAGTTGATATAAATCTTTATCTATGTAAAATTTACTTTTATAATTTTTTTTCCCAGCTCACCAAATTTTTCTTTCCAAAATGAAAAAAAAAGTAAAAAAAAATTACTGATATTTCATTTCGAATTAAGTCCAAAAAAGGGTGTTTCCTTACCCCTACCTGAGCAACAACAGGTTATTTTCCAAAAGAAAAGAAAATTTGAAATCTGTGCTGAATTTAGGTAGTGAAACTTGAAAAATGATATTTTCACATTTGTATTTTCTTTTTGTCACGTTTTGTATTTAGAATTAAATGATATTTTTAACGGACTAATATCTTTAAAACATGGTGATAATTTCAGTCTGGAGATCCCAAGGATGTGATTGAGCTGACAGATGGAAACTTCCAGAATTTGGTACTGGATAGTGAAGACCTCTGGTTAGTGGAGTTTTTTGCACCATGGTGTGGTCACTGTAAGAACCTTGCACCACATTGGCAGTCAGCTGCCTCACAACTGAAAGGCAAAGTCAAGTTTGGAGCTGTGGATGCTACTGTACACACTGTGTATGCTGGCAGATACGGGGTAAGACCTTTGATATTCACATATGATATAAGACTGTCTCTTTATCAACCGTGAGGTAAGACTCCCAAATGGTTAAATTCAAGGTAGGTCTCCTTAACTCCTTAATGGTCACATTTAGAGTAAGACTCCTTACTGGTGACATTCAAATTAAGACTCCTTACTGGTCACATACAGGGTAAGACTTTAATGGTCACATACAGGGTAAGTCTCCTTAATGGTCACATACAGGTTAAGACTCCTTAATGGTCACATACAGGGTAAGTCTCCTTAATGATCACATACAGGGTAAGACAGCTTAATAGTCACATACAGGGTAAGTCTCCTTAATGGTCACATACAGGGTAAGTCTCCTTAATGATCACATACAGGGTAAGACAGCTTACTGGTCACATACAGGGTAAGACTCTTTAATGATCACATACAGGTTAAGACTCCTTAATGGTCACATACAGAGTAAGACAGCTTACTGGTCACATACAGGGTAAGACTCCTTACTGATCACATACAGAGTAAGACAGCTTACTGGTCACATACAGGGTAAGACTCCTTACTGATCACATACAGAGTAAGACTATTTAATGATCACATCATGCTCATTTTCATATATAGTAATTTTCTGAAATGATGAGGAGTTTTAGATCGATGCTACCACTTTATGTAAATTTTGACAGTTGATTTGTAGCCTCATTGATGTGAAAAAATTTAATATTGCTCATTTATTTGTATTAGGTACGTGGCTACCCAACCATCAAGATGTTCCCAGGGGGAAAGAAAGATGGGGAGGCTGTTGATTATGACGGAGGTCGAACAGCTTCAGATATTGTTGCTTGGGCAACTGAAAAAGTAGCTGCTAATATTCCACCCCCTGAAATCTACCAGGTATACAATATATTAATTTAGTGAAATGTTTAGCAAAACCTCCATATTTGTTTTACCAGTTAAAGAGATTGTGTCAGAGAAGTCAGTGTCTGATGTTTGTAATGTTGTGTTATATTTCTCATTTAATGTTGGCGTTTTAACTTGGTACAGTAGCTGATATTGTTTTGGTGTTTGATTTTATACAGTGGTGGATATGGTTGAGTGCACAACTCGGTAAATAAAACGTGAAATATTTCTTGTTATTTGCTATTTAGGTGACATCTCAGGATACTATAAAGGAGAACTGCCAGGACCACCAGATTTGTGTTGTGGCTGTCTTGCCACATATTCTTGATTGCCAGGCAGACTGTAGGAACAACTACCTATCAATTCTAAAACGCCTGGGAGAAAAGTACAAGAAAAACCAGTGGGGGTAAGCCTTTGTCAGTCATAAAATGTTCTGGTTTGTGGTTGGGAAGGACCATTTTATTTATTTACATAAATAGTGCATAATAAGAAGGAGAATTGATATTAAATATACTGTAATACTGTATAACAGTTTTAGATTCTAGGTATAAGGTATAAATGACCAAGAGGTGTTATCAAGATAATGGTAAAGATTTTTCTGCTCTTAAAAGGTTATTTTTCCAAGTTAATTTTTTCCATAAGAAAATGATATGACAATGTTAACATTATTTGGTGTAAACAATGATAAAACTGTGAAATATAAGCTGATTAAGTTTAACTGGAATTTTACTTAAAATTTTTACTTTTACATTTTACTTAGATTGTGATGTTTACCATTTAATTATTAAAACATGGAGTATATACAATATTACATCAGGGATGTCATGTATGATGTAAAAATATTGCAGCCAATGACCTCTTTTGTTACAGATGGGTTTGGTCCGAGGCTGCAGCCCAGCCAGAGCTCGAGTCGGCCCTTGGTATTGGAGGGTTTGGTTACCCAGTAAGTACTGTACGGTATACAACATCAAAGTGTGTATGATGGATTCTAACATACATTGAAGTGACTGCAACAGTTTATTAGTTGACTTATATTCAAGGTCAAAGGGATCAAAGTTGTTTAAACCTTTTAAAGAGTTCTACTCATGAACTATAAGGCCTAAAGGCATGATATTTAGCTGGTATGTTCCTTTGATGGAGCTTGACAAAATTTGCGAAAATAAAGACCTTGACCTATGTTCAATTTTACAAGTGTCAGATTTGTTAAAACCTTTAAACATACCCGACATATATCTTGATGTTGGACATGTAAACATACCTGACATATATCTCAGGGCCAGACATATACAGTAAACATACCTGACACATATCTCGGTGTTGGACATATCAACATACCCGACATATATCTCAGGGCCAGACATATACAGTAAACATACCTGACACATGTCTCTGGGCCGGAGACAAAATCTACCAATTTCAATCCAAAATTGATCTCATGAAGCAATATTTGATAGTCTCTCCTTTATTTTGTAACCATATTTTATAATGATAGTTTTTTCACAAGATTTTATGAGATTTTGCTATAGTTGGCCACAACAGTGACTACAGTCAGTCAAAAATTATGTCTATTAAACCATTCCACTTCATGCAGTCGCTATAAGTGTCACCAGTGTTCTGATTATCTGCTATATTATCAGAAAATTTTCACATTGATAAAAAGGGAATAAATACAAATAAATCAATTCTGTGGACACGTGTAAGACAAACTGCTCTCCTAGTGTTAACTGAAAGTTGAGAAACCGCCATACTTATATGCTGATTGCCTAGATGGTAAATTGCTTATTTTCTGCTTTAGGCAATGGTAGCTCTTAATTCAAGAAAGATGGTTTACGTTCTACTGAAGGGACCATTCAGCGAGAGTGGCATCAATGAATATCTGAGGTAAGTCTGCACTGTAATGATATTTCACAGGAACGTTACTAGATAATTAATTTACACTCTAATACTGAATGATGTAAATGTAGTCAATTTCACAGAGTTTTATTTTTTCTCTGCTTTTTAAGAGAAGGTAGGAATACACAAAAACTAGCATACTTTTGGCATCACTTATTTTGCGACTTCATCACAAAAAAAACACCTATTTGGTAAAATTACAAAAACTGGTCAATGAACATTAGCCTTTACAGTGTATTGTTAAAGGACCTGGGTCAACGTCATGGTTGAATGATCATGTTAATAAAATCATTGTATGAGACACAAAATTACAGAGTAAAAGTATTATCTTAATAGGAGACTTATTAAACAGTAATGTATAATAGGTGAAAAAAATCCCAAAATTTCAGTGACTTTTGACTAAACGGTGCTCTTTGTCATTTTTTAGGGACCTGTCATATGGCAAAGGGTCCTCAGTACCAATGAGAGAAAAGGAGCTACCCACAGTACAGAATCTGGAACCCTGGGATGGAAAAGATGGAGAGGTACGGCAATATTGATTATAAAGCTGAAGCCTTACATAATCATATCATGACCAGTTGTTTATATAGGAAGGAGACATTTTCTTTGAAATTCCATAAATCATAATCTATAATAAACATTGTATGTCAGTAAGGAGATGGCTTGGTTATCTCCCTTGGAGTCTGATTCAAAACTAAATAGAATTTCTAATATCAGTAAGCTAGGTTTCTGGCATTACATCACTATTACATTGGTCCTGTGACTTCTCTCTAACGTATGAATGTACGATTCGTGACAGCATTGGTATAGCACCATTTACAGTTTGTAGATTATATCATCCTTCTCAAAGATTGTTTTAAATCGTGTCTTATATTAGTTATGAAATTGTTAAATGTTACCATACACAAACAATGGTGTACCTTTTGATTGGAGCATTGGTTAATTACAAAATCTAAACTATGTATTATTTTAGAGTGAAACTCTTTTGAAATTGAGGGTCAGTCATATAAATGTGACATATGCCCTTAAAACTTGGATGAAGTACATTTAATATAAATGGTTGAAAGTGTAAGGTAGATTTAATCTGATTATCAAAGTCTGTTATATTTCAGATGTACGTGGAAGAAGAAATCGATCTGAGCGATGTTGAACTGGACGACCTCAAGGATGAACTATGATTTAGAAAACCAGAATTTATTTATCATTTTATGTATGTAAAGTTAGTGAGAATGGTGTTTGATGAAAATTCAGTGTGGAAAGTTGTATGTAGAATTGTACAAGTTTGTTTAAGTTACAGTATGAAAGACTACCAGAGAGGATCAATTGTGTGTAATTTTGTATGGCATTGAACATTTACAGTATGGAAAAGTGTGTGAAAATGTATGCTGTTATGTTTACATATTGTTACTTCAGAAACAACAGCCTCACAAGCAGAGGTTTTCTAGAAGTGTAAACAGCTGGTGCTCCCTCCCTAGATAAGATATTAATCTACATTGCTGTTATCACATTGAAGAGTCATGTACAGGTGTTGTGCTGCATCTTACCTGTGTGATTTAGGTAAGAATGTGTTTTGATCATGTATGGGTCAGAAATTCCATCCCAAGACTGTGGTTTTAATTTCTTTCCTTCTATCCAAAACTAACTGGTAGAATAAGCAGTCTTTGTTATAGAAAAACATTTGTTCACAATTATGATAATTCCATACTGGATGTGTTTCAGAAATGATTGTTCACAACAGTACATTCAGATTTGGATCATTGTAGATCAACATAAAATTGTACCAGTTTTCTTTATACGTAACTTGAAGGACATAGGATACCAGTTATTTCTTTCATGAAATGATGGACCATTGTTAGATATGTACATAGTAAATGTAATATAGATTGTTGTGGACCTGTGAGTTGGAGTTACTGGCAAAGATTTTGTGTGTTGTAGACTTTTGTATGGCTCAATGTTACCTATAGCAAGCCTAGTCTACACATCATTTCTATGCCAAGAATACAGATTATTAAGGTATTTGACTAAGTACCTGATGAAAGCCAAGCATTTTGTGATTATATATTGTCATTCCTGTAGCGTGAAAAGTACATTGTAGGTTCCTGAATTTGATCTTCTGCATGCATCCCCCCTTGATTCGTTACGACCACTGGTGTTGGTGTTGTATGTGTGTATAGACGGTGTTTAGATTTCACCCTTGTGGTTTTTTCGTCATTGTTTCATTCCCTAGTCATTTGATAATACACTGAGTTATCCAAATATAGATTAAGAGTTAAATATTGAGTGGTTTGTTGGTCCATCTCTGGTGTTAAAAGCCTTAATATCTTTACTACAAAAATATATTTCAAGGGCAGATGCTTTTACAGATGTTTCGTATGATACCAGGTACCTCATTCATTCTTTTATTGGTAGCTGATGATTTTTGTAGAGGTTTGATAGTTTATTCTGAAACGTAAACATGGTTGTAAGAGTGCAGCACATTCCTGGATCATTGTCTCGCATGTAGCAGTTGTTTACCAGTTCATACAGACAGAGATACAAAACTTGTGTGGAGGACTGTCTGATATTGTTTACAGGGTAATCAAGTAGATTTGATGATTCTGTTTTACATTGTAAAATCATCTGTTTTTTTCTGACTCAATTTTTGTGGTTTTTCAAAAAGAGCATACTTATTTGCACTTGATTTTATGGACAAATCTTGCATGTGAAATCCACTAGTAATAAAAACGTTTGTAAATTATCATCTCTTCATCATGTTTCTGATAATACCCACATAAACATGAACGAGTTCAGAATGTACAGATCAATAAAATTCAGGACTCTGCTTCCTCAGGACAATAATCTGACCACCAGTTGGTTCTGAAGTAACTTTCTGTATATTTGACATTGTTAAAGCGTATGGATGTTAGTGGGTTACACTTCAGCTGTCGCGTTTGACAATGTTGCGCTATAAGATGCCTGTGTTTGGCTGTGCGGTTGTGTTTTCTGTCATGTTGTTTCTAGAGATCATGTTATGAGTAAAGTTTTCTGTCACCATGAGATTACCTGTTGCTAGGTATCATCTCGCCGACAAACGCCAGTGTACTGATGACTTGTGCGACAAAACATTGGTATACTGGCAACATGTGTTGAACGTTGGTGTACTGGCAATTGCGTCATGTGACCATGTAGTGAAACTATTTCTCACAAAAACATTCAATTGTAATCATTTACACTGAAGCCACAGTTATATTGTGCTAAAAAAGAATGCTTTATATTATCTACATCGAAGACATTATGTAACTTTTAAATAATCTTTTTTTTCATTCATTGTGAGTGTTAATATTAATTACTGGTCAATACCTGTACAGTCAACATAATGCGATCATGTGAACATGTAAGTTGCTATGATGAAACCATGAAAAATAAAATACATATAATTTTTGATATGTTTCGATGTTATTCACTTATTTCAAATAATTGCAACTCTTTTGAATTTGTTTAGAAGCATATCAGCTATATTGATTTGAGTACAACTGTAAATGTACTTGAAAATACCAAAATATCATGTACAATGGCAGGTGCCCTAAGTATATGAATATGTCAATAAAGGTAGATGCTGTCAAAACCTTTTCAATTTAAACAAATTACCAGAAACTCCTGTTTCTTTCCACAGCTTTCATTTTACAGTGATTTTAATTTCTGCTTTAACAGTAAATATTTTTGATATTTCATTCCATTTTTCATGTCTTAGAAAAAATATATTTTTTCATGAAATTTATCATCAATCATAGATCTCCTTTTCATTTAACGTGTCCTCAAGGTTTTTTTTTTTTTTAAAACTTTTCATCAATAAAATACCATTACCACAAACAGTAAAACAATATGATATGTAACCACAAACACTACCAAAATTTGATATGTCGCCACGAATATTACCACAACTTGATATATGTACGTCATCACAAACATTTCCATAATTTGTTGTCACCACAAACGTTACCACAATTTGTTGTCACCACAAACGTTACCACAATTTGTTGTCACCACGATTGTTCCTGCAATTCAGTGTCACCACAAACATTACCACAATTTGTAGTCACCACAAAAATTACCACAATTTGTTGTCACCAAAAAAATTACCACAATTTGTTGTCACCACAAACGTTCCCACAATTTGATATTCCATGGAACATTGATACTGATGTCATATATTTAAGGTACATGCAATTGGTTTTGTACTCTGATCTGTAAAAAATGCATCTGCTTAACTGTCTCGGTATCAATGTAGATAAAACCCCTGAAAATATAAAAATTTTTACTATGTGCATCAATATGAAAAAATGACTGATTATGCATCTAAAATTTGATTTCATAAAGCATACATTGTAATCGCTCAGTCAGTTATTTCCAGACTTACTGTGCTTTTATTTTCAACATTGTAATCCAAGAAATAGATGTGTATGTTAATGTTACTGTTTGGTAATGGAGAGTGTTTTTAACATTTGCTGGCTTGAATGTAGGTGATTATTGTGAATTTATGTGTTATAGATGATAACACACCTGTTACTAAGGCCAAATCTATACATGATCTTTGTTAATTCAACACAGCAAGGATCTTGCTGAGAAAGAATTTCTTCTAACTACAGACAGAAAATGCAATCTTGGAAAAAAATAAAATGTAATTTTAAAAAGATAATTGAGGTCTTTGTGTTAATTAAGCATCTGTACATAGTGCATGCAGTATAAAGGGAAATTTTTCACAACAGTTTATTGCCTGAAGACATATGTTGATGCCAGGGCAAAAATAAATAAATAAATTTTTGAGCTTTTTGCGGGAAGCCCCCTCCTTCATTTTTGCACAGTCTTCAGTTTTAGATAGTAAGCTGCAGTTAGTTCACAAACAAGCCCTCCCAACACTGTAATACTTAACTTTTAACATCAGTGCAGGAGGCATATTTTGGGACAAATACAAAAAAATTATTAAAGAATGTTATACATGCATAAATTTGAAAATGACAGGATGATTAATGAAATGCAACCCTCACAAGAAATCATTTTGAGAAGACTCTCAAAACCTTCACTGGCCAAACATGTCTTTAGATATTTGTGGAAAGACATTTTCTATTTCAATTAGTAACGTTGACCAGTTAGATCTCTTCATAAATGCAATCTAATGAAAGCACTTCCCAATAGGGATATAGCCTTTGTGGAACTGGCCAAAAATAGAACTGAAAATATTGAACAGAAACCACTTTTCTTTTAATAACTGCTATAATATTTACCTCAAAGTTTGAAAAACAATTTCAATCAAGCTTTTTGAATTGAATTACTCCAGATATGGCTATGTGGAAGGCAAATACGTTATCAGGCACCACCAGACCACTCAAAGATTGGTGTCAGAAGAGGGATACCCATCTTTGTAAGTGGTCAGTTAGCGACGTGGTAACTTGTCTTTCAATAAGACATCCCAGGTTTGATTCCTGAAATGGACATGAAAGGGTATGGAGTCGCCTGCCTGAGGTATTAGCAAAACAGAACTAGAGATATTACAGGTAAAATGGAACTGGAACAAACAGTGATGTTAATTGATCTAATTTCTATAGAAGTGTTACAAACAAGATGCAGATCAAAAATTTTCTTTTGAAAGTAGACAATTTTTATTTCAGCAAAATCAAGTACCATTATCAAACAATTAATTTTTTTACCACCACGAAAGTAAATTGCACAAAGCAAATTCAACAAGATAAACTTTTTATTCTATTACAAAGTTGGCATGTAGAGTTCAACCCACAGAGAATGCAATATCCATCGACCACAAAAAATCTTAAACAAAAAATTTATCAAATGAAATTTTTTTTCCTCATTTCTCCCCTTTAAACATGACTTTTAGCAGAATTATGAATTTTTTAATGTTACAAGCTGGTAGCATGAGGTGAATTAATTACAATGGTTTTGATATGAAGCATAAATTGACCTTTCTGATGATTGATATAACTGATATTACATTTTTACACATGAAATCTAACTTGATCTCATCTACTAGTATTTAAAAGCAGGGATTTGAAGGAAAAACAAGAGTGTAGCTGCTTTTACAAAAACTACACAGCTGCATATACATTGATGCAAAATGAAGCAAATGCTGACAAAATTATCCTAATCTCTAGTCTTTCCAGCTCGCCCAACCCCCATCTCCTATCAAGGTGTTGTCATTAGTCCTGCTTCAGAAATCAAAATTAACAAAAATATACAAAATTGATTTCCATTCACCTAATAATGCTTCAAGTCAAATTTGGGTAAAATCAAATCATTCCTTAGGGAGAAGTAGGGTTTTGAAGAATTTGTTCTATTTCCAAAAATTTTACCCCATCCCTCCCGCCCTAAAGGGCAGAGATACACATTTTTTACAACATATATTCCCCCTCCACCAAGGAATGCTCCTGACCAAATTTTGGCAAAATATAATAATTTCTTCAGAAGAAGGAATTTTAAGAACTTTCTACATTTCCATTTTTGGCCCCATCCCTCAGGCCCCACGGGGCAAGAACTGATATTTATACATACTTAGTTCCTGTTTCCCAAGGATGCTTCTGATCAAATTCAATCAAAATCCATTCAGTTGTTCAGGACTAGTACAGATTTTAGGAAAAATCTGACAGATGCTGCGCCATGACCTAATCTCACAGGACCCCAGACCAAGTAAGCTAAAACCCAAAACAGAAGCCCACAATAATCAAAACCAGCATAGATTATCACCAAATGGAACAACAGATAGATTATTGATGAACCTCGTACAAGCTAGAAATAATATGTTAACAACATTACATCATAGGTATACATTTCACAGTTCATTTTACACATGATCAGAACTTTCTGTTCTGTTTCCATGTTCTACAAAATACACATACGATTCATTACTAGAGATACATGTATTATGGTATCAAAAATAAAAGTCTTGAAAACTACACTGAATTAATACTTGTTTAACAGCAGCTTATACACCACTTTTACCATTCTAGTCTGCTACTTTAAAACTATCTTCTCCAGTTTGGCAGGGGACTCATCTCAATGCCATAAGGTGCACTAGCTGTGTTACAATATATCCAGCCTCTAGAACCAACCAGACCTAAGCAGTATACCAGACGGAGACACTGCTAATGTTTCATTAGAGGTGTGGATAACGCTGCCCCCTATCTTCATCCCACTTAATTCCCTGTTGAAAGATATAAAGTTACTCAACCTACCATCTAACTAAAAGGGACCATTGTGTCTCATCACATTTGCTTGGATCAGGTTTATCTTTTGACTGATCTAACGTATTTGGACATCATACATCCTTATAATAGTATGATGATGTTTTGTGACATCCTTGAACTTAATTGCTTCATGTGTAATGCCCATGGGTTTGTTGATTTCCTTTCAAAAAGTCAATAAACTGAGAAATTTACTCTACAACCTTCCTACAGTTTGTCATACTATCATATTTATTATACAGTAAACCTTTGTAACAGCTATATCTAATACTGTTCTGTATATTTATTCATCACATTTTATTGTCCTGTAGTAAGCCCATACCAAAATGTGGGACAGATTACTATGCTTTACTTACCAAAATATATGTATAGTACTATATATAAGTACCATGCTTGACCTCCTTCCCTGTTGTGCTGTCTACTAAACAAGACAAATTTCTTGGTACTCCCTTCCCTGGTGTCTACTATACAAGACACATGTCTTGGTACTCCCTTCCCTGGTGTCTACTATACAAGACACATGTCATGGTACTCGCTTCCCTACTGTCTACTGTACAAGACACCATTCTGAGTACTCCTTTCCCTGGTGTCTACATTACAGGACAGGACAACATGCTTGATATTCCCTTCCCTGGTGTCTACTTTATAGGACAACATGCTTGGTACTCCTACTGTACAAGACACCATTCTGAGTACTCTCTTCCCTACTGTCTACATTACAGGACAACATTCTGAGTACTCTCTTCCCTACTGTCTACATTACAGGACAACATGTATGAGTACTCCCTTCCCTGGTGTCTACTTTATAGGACAACATGCTTGGTACTCCTATTGTACAAGACACCATTATGAGTACTCTCTTCCCTGGTGTCTACTTTACAGGACAACATGCTGGTTACTACCATCCCTACTGTCTACTATACAGGACAACATTCTGGGTACTCCCTTCCCTACTGTCTACTTTACAGGACAACATTCTGAGTACTCCCTTCCCTACTGTCTACTTTATAGGACAACATTCTGAGTACTCCCTTCCCTAATGCCTACTATACTAGACATTGAATTAATTTGTATATATTTTAAAATGACAGCCCTGATGGCTGTATTGAATTTCAGTCTGACCTGAAAAATATCCCAGGATCATTTACAGCAGGGTTTGGGGTTAAGTTAGTAGTACATGGAACCTGCATAAAGGTTTAAAATGTGAAAAGTAAATGCATGGCAGATCGTTAATCACTATGCGACTCATCAGAGGGTTAAGTAAACCAGAAACTCAGACACCTGACAATTGCAAAAATTATCAGAGAAAATTCTGTTTGTGATTTATTGCCAAAGACAGCCATTTAAGCAGTAATTTTTTTTTCATTACAGGATCCCATTTGAGGAAACAGATCTCTATACATTTTAAAATTTACAAAACAAACTATTTCTTTGTCTCAATTTAACTAGCATTAAAATAGTTATACATGTATACATTATGTAATAAAACTTGAAAATTTGATCTGATCTCTTCATTAAGACTTCGGGAAAAATATTGTGCCAACACTTTTCAAGTTTCAACGGATGCAGATTACCTCCTACTTTCCCTATTGCTTCACACATATTGCATACACAAATACATTATGAGATACAGGACCTATATTATACTATCACTACTACTTACATTATACATTGTGATTCAAGTCCATAACAAACCATAATTTTTTATATGTTACATCTTATATGATTTCACAGCATACTGGTTTCTACTAATCCTTTTATATATCATATTCAAGGGAATCTGTAAGTTGGTGGCATGTTTTGTTCACGTTCCATAATTTGTGTTAAGGTTTTGAAATTTCTAAGTTAAAAAATGTTCTAATTTTTAAGTGGAAGGGTGCTATCTTCGTCTCTCTCCTTTCTGTGTTCGTTTTTTCTCTGCCTCTTTTCGGTCTAAATTTTTCTGTTTTTGTTGTGCTCGGTCCTGTTTATCCTTTTCTTTCTTTTTGTCTGCTTCTTCCTTTGCCTTCTCTCGTTTTTCTTTCTCAATCAGTCCAACACTCTCCGCGTTTGTGTTTTTCATCAACAGAGCTGTTTGTATAAATCAAGGAACACTTATGATCATTTGAAAGATATTCATACATTGACTTCCTTTCGAAATTTACCATAAAACATTTTTGAAATTTTATGACCATAAACTTGTTTTTGACAATGAATATTAAGCATACAATCATTCCTTTACTGATTTCCTTATCTGAAACTGCAGAATGAATAATGTAGTGTTACATTTCATTGTTTGTAACACAATGAATGCTGTAATATATATATATATATTTTTTTTTACATTTTTGAAGAGTGTCTGAAATAACTGTATCATAAAAACAAAGTAAATATAAGGGCATCCCTATCTTTAATCAAAGGAGGAAAAGAAAAAAAAAAACATGAATACACTTTCTGAGAATCATGTGAAGAGCAACACAGAATGTGTTTGGAAGGTATCAATATAGCTTATCTTAAAATTTCAGAAGCAATGAAAAATTGTCAGACTTGTGGAAGGATTAAGATATACACAGTAATGATTACAGCAGTTCATTCAATGGTACGATAATCACAAAGTAATATTGACATCAATCTGACGTCTTTTAGGAAAACTTTACAGTACAAGAGGTTTCAAAAATAATCAAACGGTAGCTGCAGTATTTTAGAATCTAGAATTTTGAAATTTTAAACCCTTGACAAAGGTCTATCTACATGAAGATGCCCTGATTCAAGGATTCTACTTTTACATGCGAGATAGAATCATTTGTTTGTTTAATGTATTTGAGAGTTAAGGATACAGTCTCCTGCAGCGGCGGCACTTGCAGAGCCACTAGTGGCTGCTCCTATGGTTCCAGTATGGCTTGACGGTCCATCGCTGTTGTGTGTTAAAGACTATATGATTGATTCAATATCAAATCTAAATGAAATGAAAAACACATTACATATATGTATACATACCTGGGTACATAATTGCATGGTTACTATTGATGATCTTTTCATAAAGCAAATAATACCATCAAATGCTCTCAAAATTATTTTGAAAGTATTGGGATCATATCAATTTATACTGCTGGATAATCATAGCTTTGACAATTAACAGGTGGGACTATTGAATAATATTTGCAGAGTCTAAGATATTCAGATTTTGTGTTTCTAAATTTTTCCATAAAAAATATATACTCACAAAATATTTCAATTTAACGAATAGTTTGAGATCTAAAAGAGATATATGTATATTCCTTTCTGAAAAATCTTAAAGTTCCAACAGATTTCTCAACTTTTGATACATTCATCATTTCAGGATTCATCGTGAAACACATGGTCTCATTTGTAAACTTATAAAATAAGTCTTCAAATTCAAAAGTGAAAGAAATTTTTGGCAAAAGTATTAGCTCATCATAGGATACTCGTCTTCTTCATCAGACACAGTGGAATACTGGGCTAAAATGGCCTCCTTTCTGGCACGAGCTTCGTCCGAGGTTGTGTCTTTTACCTTGACAGGCTCTATTGTCTGTTTCTCCAACATATTTGACAACTGGTCTGCAATATTTTTCTGAGCTGTAAGTGAAGAAGTTTTGCACTGTTATATTCTCATCAAAATGGTAAAAAAAATATATAGAGGTTTAATTCCCAATTGAAATAAGATCAAGACTGTACATATATCAGATTTTCAAACCAATTTATGATTAGTGGTCTTGATAAAAAAAGTATTCATAAATACTTAGCAAGAGAGAACTTCTCTACATCTAGATTGGTTGAGTGATTTTACTGATTGGTTGAGTGATTTTACTGATTGGTTGAGTGATTTTACTAGTAAGCCAGAGATCCCTGGTTCAAATCTTAACAGAGGCATAAAAGAAATTTACTTCTGTTACACAGATCAGGATGGTGGCATTGAAAAAAAATTACTTCTGTTACATAGATCAGGATAGGGTTTAAATCAGATAGTACAATTTTCTGACAGAAATGAAATTTCACTTAAAAGATTTCTGATTGGCAGGGCTTACCTGATTCTGTGTTCTTGTTTACGGTTTCATTGTGAATTTCTTCGTATTTCTTTATGATGTCATCACAGACTTGTTCACGGTCTGTTTCCTATAACAGAGTCATTGATAGTCATATAATACATTATACCTGTAAAAGTCTGTAGATACAAATGCAAACTAAAATGTCCATAACACATGAATGCCCCTCTCTAAATTGCATATAGAATCCAGAACACCACTTTCAAATACTAAGATATAGTGGGTTCTCAAAAAATATGGTCAAGTCTCTCTATGAAAGTATGAGTCTGTGAAGCAAATATATGTACAAATGGAAGAGACCTCAGTGACAAAAAAACAATGACTACATAAGTCTCCAGTGATTCCAATTCTTGTTATTTTTCCTTGTTGTTAAAGTTTGATACCAGATCAAGCTCTGACAGAGAAACTGCAGGTAACTAATTGGGCACAGGTTGGAACAATTTTTAAATATTTTTTCTTGGTGCATTCCCTTATTACAGAGGACAATAACCTCTGCATAGTTTTTGCTGCCCATTCTATCATATGATAATGATGTAATGACAAATGTTTTAATTTTTGTTTAAAAGTGTATTTCACGAAATATTTGCCTAGGTTAGTTATTGTGAATATGTTTCTGTGGTTACTTTTAAAAAGAATTCCGTGGCTTAACTGTACACCATATCCCCATCCTGGTTTACAACATAAAGCATTCACGTACATGTATGACATGAACAAGTATATACATCGATTTGTCAAGTCTTAAATGTACAGGTCTCGAAAGAAAGGGTGAAAGGTTGAACATATGTTAATTCTCTCTTCCGAAGTACTATTTGACATGGTCATGGAACATGTTTTCTACCCACCAAAACCTCAGCCAGTAATTCAAGTATTGATTCGCGTTTTTCGTCAGCTGGCGAGTCTTCATCCAACATACTACTGATGTACATGACGAAGACGTCTGTGTCAACCTCAGGATTAAGCGACAACAATTTGTCTGCCAGCCACTGATCGTACGGTGTTGTGGACGTCGCCATCTTTTCCGTACTTCGGAAGAATTATGCCTGTGACGTTATTTAGCCATATAAAGTAATGAAAAAAGAAGAGGGATTCGGTAACAAGAGAACTACATCCGGTACACATGTTTCTGGAGCGAAGGCAGAGAACTATAAAAGGAAGCGTGTTATTTCAATACAGCAAAATCTGTCGTCAATTTCTTCTTTTCATATAGAAAAAATGTCTTTGGAATGTCTTTAGAAGATGCTTTGGTTTATCTGTAACTTGACAAAATATCACGTATATGTCAAAAGTGATCAATAATTGCTGAAGAAAACCTAATTGTTGAAAGTGAAAGTAGGTGTCAATATCTGTATACACGAGTTTACCGTAAGAAATCTTCTTGGATACAAAACTCAGTGAAGGAAATTTGATATGTTATTTCGAAGTTTCTCGATACAAAAACTGTTGTTTAGAAGTTTTAGAAAGAGAACTCTGTGTGTTGTAACTCAGCCATCATTACCACACGACCACATATATGAAGTTATTGTTTCCAAATCCAATGATATATTTGCCAACTTATCATTGGAAGAATGGCTTTTTGAGAACCGAGATCTTTCAAAGAATTCTGTGCTACTTATGTGGAAAAATAGACCATGTATTGTGATAGGACGACATCAGAATCCCTGGTTGGAGTGTAATGTTTCGGAAGGGACTGCTCTGGGTGTGAATATTGTTCGTCGAGGTAGTGGTGGTGGAACAGTGTACCATGATGAAGGAAATCTGAACTGTTCCTTTATCACAGACAAACGTTACTACGATAGACGTAGGAATCTCCAGTTTGTCATCAACGCTATTATGTCTAGATGGGATATAGATCTCCAGATAAATGAAAGAGATGATATCATTCTTGATCAATTATATAAGGTAGAGTATCTAGAACTAAGCCTAAGTCTGATAAAAAGCACACCTACATCTGTAAGTCCCATAGAAATGCCAAAAAAAATCCCTCAGTATAACTGTCCTGTAAGTGACACGGCCCCGGTTGCTCACAGCTTGATTAGAGTTAACCAGCTTTTTGTGAATCATTTTAAACATGAATCAAACAAAAATGAGACAGTTCTTATATATTTCACAGCTTCACAGGTCAGATTGATATATTTTGAGAGTCAGCTTTTGCTTTGAATATCAATGGGGTGGGGGTGAAAAGATTCATATTTATTTTGCCCTGTGGTAGATTTGTTCTAAACTACAGCGCTCAATAAGAAAACAGGACACTTTATTTGATAGGACCTTTAGGATTTTCTTTTTAAATTTAGGTAATATATGGAGACAATCTCATGGTGTGAATTAGCCAACCAAAATGCAGGCACTTAGCTCTGCTATACATTCAGTATTGGAAGGAAGGATAGTGGAATATTTTGAGATTATGTGCGTGTATATTTCTGGTGTATTCGATTGTTTAGGTGTCTGGTACAGCTTCACGTCTAACAAGGGCCAAGACCTACCATCACTTGACACTTCTGTACAGAACTGACTTGGAAAAGCTGCAGAAAATCCTTACAAGTCCATTTGGGGTAAAATTAACTGAAGTTCATAGTACAAAAAATTAAAAGTTTTACTGGTGAAGAGTTTAAATGTGTTTAAAAAATATATGAAAAAATGGCATTGCACCAACAGTGAAAAGTTCCTCTTTGACAGTTGTTATAAAAAAGTAACAATAACATCAAGTCAATAACGTTTTGATATTGATTACATTGTATTTATGATATGTTTACAATCAATAAACAAACACATATTTCTGTGTTTTTCAATGGGACTCTTAAGTGTTATTAATGTTTCTTGACAGACAGGTGTTAATTCCAAAGCCACAAAGAGTGTGTCAGCACAGGTGAGGAACATGTCGGACTATGTGACGGAGATGGACTTCAGTAAGCTGGTAAAAGTCCTGGGAGAACATTTCTACCATGAATATGATCAGCGTAGGGTGAGCCATTATTTTTCATTTAAATCTAATTACCAGAGTTTTGCTGTAATTTTTGTTATCAGTTTTACAATCAGGGAAAAAAGCTGTTTCCCATCAGTAAAACAGTGGTTTTAGATGTTTATCCAACCAATGACTGCACTGCTAGCTAAGTCTTTGAGAAACTGGCTGTATTCAATTGTATTTGTGGCATTGAAAAAAATAATGGTCCTACATATCTCTCCTCATTAGATTTTCCAAATTTTCTACAAATTGAAGATCAGGAAGGTTAAATTTTCAAACTAATGCTTATTCTAAAAGGTGAATGATGCACATTCGATCTCAAGGGAGGTAATTACAAACAAGCACTTTGAAAGGGGAAATCAAGTCTGCTGGTAATTGGGTATTCTGGTTAGCATAGTTTGTTTTAAAATTTGCAAGATTGTTTTTATCAATTTTAAGAAAATTTGTTTTGTTTTGACAGTTTGGTGAAATCCAGTTTGTGGAGCCAACAGATGATGCATTATTCCCAGGACTTGACAAATTACAATCCAAACTACAGGATTGGGAATGGATTTATGGGAAAACTCCAAAATTCTTGTTAAAAAAACATTACAGTCAAACTATACATGGAACACATTTTACAGTTACTATAGCAACAGAAATAAACAAAGGAAGGATAGCCCAACTTGACATCACTTTTCTTGATACAAATCAAAATGACTTTATTGAAAGTTTACTTTCAGATGTAAGAAACATCATTATTGGTCAAAGGTTCTGGATACCTGACCTGAAAGTGTTGTTACAAGACCTACAAAAAGATGTAACTGTTGGTAACCATGGAAACCAGGATCTCTTTAGTTGGATAGTATGTTGTTTAAAAGATGCATTCCATATACATATATAAGCTGAAATATATTTACAACACAATTTGAGTATTGTACACAAGTTCATGTGCATTAAACATACTAAACCCATGTATGCTGTTGTACTTGTGATAATCTTGTTTGCAAACATGGCCTAGAAGAGGTTTTAGATATGCCACAATCTTTAATTCCAATAAGCTGTCTTCAAAATTACACCTGACAAATTTATTATTTGAAACCAACAGATCAATATTGGTATTTAAACTTTGATTGCTGTCGACCGACACATTTTTTAGCAATTTACTGTCCTTGAAATCTAACAACCTTATAACTTAGGACCAATTGAAGTTCAAAATAAAATCATGTGAGTTTCATGTGACTGAATTAAGCAGAGAAAGATAAGATAAATTTTGATTTTATACCTGTTTATAGTACATAGCTGGTGGAATATCTCTACTCTTTTGTTATCTATATTTTGGTAAAGTAAACCAAGATATCACTGTCAGCAACCAGGTTTTAATAAGAACACAATTCATATATTCTTTTTTTGAGTCTATGTTTTGTAACATTAGGACCATAGGCCTTAACAATCCTCTTGCATCAAATGATTTCAGAAATTATTGCAATTTCAAATGAAATTCTGTTAAAATCCACTTGGACATTAAGAAATACTAGCATCAGAAGCAAATTCAAGGTAAATTAACTTCTCTGCTCCACTTCCCATCCCGTCCCCAGGGGTTGAATCAACTTTCTGAATTTTAGAAATTAATGCCTTCTCCTAATGATGTTTAACAATCTGGTTGAATTGTGCAAAGGTGTTCAGGAAAAGGGGATTTTACGCAAAATTTCAGATAGATTCTGTTTGCCCCCTACCCCTCCCCAGTCCCCACGGATTAAATCATTTTCATGAATTTGAGAAATGATTGTCCACACCTAATGATGTTTCAAACTTTCAAATTCGGTTGAAATTCATCAAGCGTTGAAATTTATAGATGGTGCACAGTAGATAACGACAGAAAAACTTGGTTAGAAAAAATTTAATCCATGATATCTGAACACTAAAATTTGAATTAAGGTTTATTCAAGACACATTATACTTTAAACAGATAATTCTGATTTTCGGTACGAATTCTTCAGAATTATAAATTATCAATTCAGAATCATATAAAAGTTTTCAGATGTTTCATTAGTTTGTGTCCTTCTGGAGTTAACACCTGAACAGCTAGGGTCATTTGAGACCGAGACTCCTTGTTATACTGTTATGCTGGGAACTCCCTCACTGAATAAAATATAAAAAGCATGTTATTCAGAGCAATTAGGATAAAGTAACTTGTCAAAAGAGACTACCATGACAGTTACAGAGAGCTGTTTATCAGCTTCCAGAAAAACACATACTGCTTCAAGCCATGCTCCTCGGATCTTCAGGTGAGGTTATGTACGCCAACAACACTCAAAACAGCTACCCACTTCCCCCACCTCCTCCCCCATTATATAAAAATAAAAAGAAATTACACATGACCACAAAAGAATTGTGTATGTTTTATTAATATCATCATCAAGAGCAGGATCATACAAACATATACACTTTTTGATATAACAGGAACATATACAGTATGATGAGCTACTCAAAAACACATAAAGTCATATGGCAGCTACAATCAAAACAAATCAATTTTATACATAGAACAACAATATATTTTGATTAGAAGTGGTTCAGGATTTCTCCCCCTAGTAAACAGGGTTGACTCCCCTGGTAATCAATTAACATGAATTTTTACTAAACTATAATACCAGAGAAAATCTTTCAACAAAACTAAACTTAATCTGACTTTTACTTTCAGAACAGGATCATGAAGTTACTTTTTCATTACTTGTCCATTACACAGTCCCATACTGTCATTTCTGAAAAAAATCTTTTGTTCTCTGTACATTTGTTACAGATTGAAAATTCAAAATGCTTTTTAATGTTCGTGGAGTAATTAACACATAAGACAGAACTAGTAAATTTGTTTTATCCTAATTTTTATCTGGTATATTTAAATGGTTTTACTTCATTCTGGTAAAAAAAGTTAAAATTTGCTTCAAGAAAGGACCAAAGACCAAATTAGTGTTTCAGTCTCATCTGCATTAAACTGCTAAAAAGAGTGTTACAAAACTTTCAGTGAAACCAATTAAAAAGCATATTAAAGCCAGAAAACTGTTATAGACCTATATCTACAAAGGGACCTGACACTCCCTTCCTTATCTTGGTCAGTGATAGTCATATTATAAATACATACATCACTGGTACAGTATATAATCATTGCGTACTTTAATATGTAGGGTGGAGAAGTCTGGTGTTTGAGTTAACCAACTCTGGAAAATAAGACAAAAAAAAAAAAAAACTTGCATAAAGATTTGCATTAAACACACCATATTAACACATTAGAGGCAGCTCTTCCAAAAGGTACAGCAATCTGCTATCCTTCCCAGTATCTACAATGTATTACACTATTCATAAATACATTCATTGATAAAATTTACGTAAAGTAAGCTCCTTACTGCAGCCCTTTAACTACTGAGAAAATGTGATGCAAGCGTTTTGAATATAATCTGTGGATAGTGAAAATTTGCCCCTCTGGATAAAACATAACATTCATTTTTCTACATTCTGTATAATCATATCTTTTGGCGGAGCTCAAATTTCGTAGATTTTCAAAATACTGATTAGTTGGCATTTGATTTCATGGATAGATAACTAGATATATATATATATATATATATATATATCTAAATATGTGCTAATTCTGAATTAATCAGCTAACTAGTTAGTGGACATATAAATTCAGGGATTAAGAATATACCAACAAAATTAACATATTATTATAACACACTTTTAACAAGTTATAAACATTTTACATAATTAGAAAAAAATGTTAACGATAAAATCACACATCACTTAAATCAACAGTAAAGGAATGTTTGGAAAAATATGTGCTAGAAAATGAAGATTTAAAATAGGTATTTCCTGTGTAATCTCAGACTTAAATTATGACAACATATGTATACAAGTTTATATTCTGTAATATATTCTGTAAGTCAATTATCGCTATGGAAACAATGGTTTCCTAACAAGATGTGACCTGGATACATGTTACATGACAGGATATGACCAAAAATATTTAACAAATGCCCCCATCTTGCATGAAAATCAGATAAGTATCTGATGCATGATATGATGGGGTAAATATAAATAGATTCTATGATCTGTTGGAAGATTTATAAAATACTGATCAATGTGACGGGACAAGACAGACCCTCCCCCCTCCCTTCACACACACATAAATTCTGAATATTGTTCTGTATTTGAAAGCCATATATGAATATGGTGTTAAATTGTACTTTGTGTAGTGAAATGAGTTTTGCAATTGGTCAGATTAACTTATCTCATCTGACAGCCAATTTGACACATTATCCTGTCTTATCTGACACAGCTTAATGGTCAGGGTAACCTGTCTTATCTGACACAGCATAAAGGTCAGATTGTCCTGTTTTACCTGACACAGCCTAATGTCAGAATAACCTGTCTTATCTGACACAACCTAATGTCAGAATAACCTGTCTTATCTGGCACAACCTAATGTCAGAATAACCTGTCTTATCTGACACAACCTAATGTCAGAATAACCTGTCTTATCTGGCACAACCTAATGTCAGAATAACCTGTCTTATCTGACACAGCCTAATGTCAGAATAACCTGTCTTATCTGACACAACCTAATGTCAGAATAACCTGTCTTATCTGACACAACCTAATGTCAGAATAACCTGTCTTATCTGACACAACCTAATGTCAGAATAACCTGTCTTATCTGACACAACCTAATGTCAGAATAACCTGTCTTATCTGACACAACCTAATGTCAGAATAACCTGTCTTATCTGGCACAACCTATGTCAGAATAACCTGTCTTATCTGACACAACCTAATGTCAGAATAACCTGTCTTATCTGACACAGCCTAATGGCCAGGGTAACCTGTCTTATCTGACACAGACTAATGTCCAGGGTTACCTGTCTTATCTGACACAGACTAATTGGCCAGGGTTACCTGTCTTATCTGACACAATCTAATGGTCAGATTAACCTGTCTTATATGTTATATAACACATCCTGTTTCTAAGATTATTCTGTCTAATCTGAGATATTGAAGGACACAATATAATGATCACATTAACCTGTCTAATATGACAATCAGAAATATTTCGATGTCAGATTAAATAGAATTTTTGAATACACAAGATTTTTTTAAAGTGATAGTTTTCATTACTGTTGAATGCATTTGTTTAAGCAGGATGTCAGTATTCTGACACAGGTCTAACTCTATAAGACAAATTCATGATGGATATTCTGCAATACAGTAAAATCATATCTTTTTGTGGTGATGAATTTTTGTGGTTTTTCTAAAAAATTATTATTTCGTGGATATTTGATTTTGTGGATAAACATTGCTCTGTGAATCAATTTACACAATTCATAAAATCAACATCTCGTTGACATGCATTCACAGTTTAAGATCATCCCCGAAATCAACAAAAAATAAATCTCCAAGGAAAATAAACAACTCTACAGTACAATATATGATATTTCAGTATCCACAACAAATGTACATACATTATGTGTATCATATTTTTAAAAAATCATATTTTCCTGATTATATCAACAAACTTTGGTCAACATAATGATTACTACTTTGTTAGAAAGGGCGTGGCTTATATTAAAATCTGAAAATTGATTAATTTGGCTCTGCGGCTTATAACCCAGAATATACAGTATAACCTTTTTTTTTTACAGAAAGCCGATACTGGTATCATAAAAAAAAGAGGATATATACATAAAATAATTCAAACTGTTACTAATTTTCATTAACATATTATTTAGTGACATGATACCTAGTAATGTTATTACCTCCCCTATTGTAACTATTGAGTTCTTTATAATGTCATTACCAAGTCATTAAAACCATTGCCTTAAGATGGCTGCTAGGCCTGAAAACATTAGAGAACTACTGTGTTGATTTTATCTTTCTAAATAAATAAATGTATATATATATATATATATACATTGTATATCATATAAGTACATCAAATAAATCTACATTATTCAGATCAATGATATATGAATCAATATTTTTGAGAGATGAAGGTATCATTTTCAAACCTAGTAAATGAAGATGATGATGTTAAATAAAAATCTAGTGTATTCTCACCATAACCAGGAAAACCTCCATATTATACACTGATAATATTTACAAAGTAATAACAGCTGACATCCTCTATAAAGAAGTCAATTTTGGTGGTCGAATAGCAAAGTGGTTTGATTCCCCAATATAACTGGATGTGAAAAGGTCATGTGCCAGACTCCAGGTACTTTAGTTTCCACCCTCAGAGTGCCCCATTAAGCAATTCAATCTGGGCCATCAAGAGTGAATGATATATATACTAGTTTGTTTTGCAACTGTTGCAACATAAACAAAGTTTATAGAAAACAAAACTCAATCATTATGCTTGATTCATATTCTATAAAAAGATGAGAATATAAAATTGCATAATTTAAAAAGTTGATTATGGAGGAGTACGTCGTTATGAGAATGTCTTCTAAGTAGAATCACTGTATATTTTGATATAGAGATTGAGACTTAGATTAATTAACGTAATGTTGAATGCATTAAATGATTAAGCGTTCAGCTGTTCCCTTTACTGGATTTACTCCACTGTATAAGTTTTTGTTTTACTCCATATAAACAGATATGATATATGGTCAGTGTAATAATGATATTATAACAGACATTGGTCTCAATGTAAAGTAACAATATTTCCCAAAATTAGTTGGTAGTGCATATGTAAAATATTTAATGAATAAATAATTTTATTTGAAACAATTACAAGATGTACCTTCAAAAAATCATTTGTGAGTTTAGTAAGATATGCCAGTATATATATATAACTTCCATCCAAATCAATTATAATAATTGTTACATTCAGAAGGCCTTTTGTTGTTTATATGAACTTGTCAAAACCAGTCCTGAATGGTAGTATAACATATAATTTTATCTTTATATAATGATAATCATTTATGTCAGTAGCATTGTTTTAACTGGTCCCTCTGTTACATATCCATGTTAACTTAAGACATTAAAAAAAATCATTTTTGATCAAATATTCAATATATGCTGACACATAAATTACTAACTTAAAAAATCATATGAATTACACAGAACTGAATCATACTGTCTACTAGAAAACTTTAATTCTTTTTTTTCTTTATGGCAAGGATGCTAGTTTGATTGGACACTGGGTAAAAATGACGAGTTTTATACCAGAGGGAAAAAAAGTCAAGGTGAAGTTTTCTCTATATATAGTATGTACATCACATGTATATCACAAGACCTTTTATTTCTTGTTAATCATCTAACAACAAAACAATCAAAACCCATCAGATTGACAGTAATATAGTTATCCTATGGCAACTTCAGCTCAACTTGAACACATAAAACTTGCTTGCTGCTATCTCCATCTATATTAAGCATCAATATTCTGTCATAACTATTCAATATGACAACCTGTGTTATACTACATATTGGTCAGATTAAGAAGGATATCAGAAATGATATACTTTGGTTATTGTCATCAGAAACGCTTGACTAGACAGGTAGTCAGATTAGACATAGTTCACACCACACAGTTAAACATCTTAATCATAAAGCAAATTATTCAAAATTATTAATTAAAATCATCAACATTTAATATATGTTCCGTTGTTTCTATGACAACAAGCACTGCTCTCATCATATTTTGGTAAAATAATAACATGACTATTGCATGACAAAGTTCAAGGTCATTCCAATATTGACACAGTTCAAGGTCATTCATATAATGACAAAGTTCAAGGTCATTCCAATAATGACAAAGTTCAAGGTCATTCCAAAAATGTAAATGACTGAAAGACATTTGCTACAGTCAACACATCAGTATTGCAAAGTTTCTAGGTCACTTCAGACCGCTTAACTATTCTTCATAATGTATTTTTGTAACAAAGTATGTAACGCTGCAAAACATTAAAGAAAGCTCACATAATACATTTTCCTGTTTTTTTTTTTTTTTTTTAAATATTTTCTTCAGTATCCAATAGATTTTTCATTGAACTTTTCTGCAGGATCACCATTTCATCTTCACTTACACAAGCACTCAATGAAAAAGTCATTACTTTCAGTAATAGAAGTTATCTATGACTTTCCATCTTTTGACGTGACAATCTCATTGTTCCTGTTATGAGATCCTACTGGAAAACTGCACTGAACTTCTGAGTCAAACTTCTCTCAAGGTTTTTATTATCAAAAACCTATTGCAGTGATAGGTATCCACGATTCAGTAAATCATCCTTGCACATATTATATGTACACTAATGTAACTATCTTCCTTAGTAATCAATGGATCCTCCATTTTATTTATCACAAAATCAGATATAACTGAGTCGTCTCATCTAGAAGAATGTGACTATGTAATGAATGACATAGCTAACACATTCATTGTAAAAAATGCTTTACTGCTTAAAAAAAATTGATCTATTTTTAGCAACAAAAAATCTTGACAGTGTAAATTCAAACAAACTAGAAGTACCATAATTTTGAATATAAACATTTCTTTTCAAAAAATTGACTCTACTGGGTTTGAACAGCACGTGCATGGTGATAAAAATCTATTACTTTAACACAGCTCTTCTCTCATAAATCATCGTCCCCTATTGTGTCAAATGCATTGTTTTCTATAACACTTTGTCCGTTACTCTTTGGAGTCTCCTGCAAAGAAGAATCTGAAGTTAGTAATCTTGTGTACGTGTTTAAAGGTCTATTTTATAACAACAAATACTCCTAACAATATCATATGTGTCATAATTATCCTACTAGACAGCCCTACAGCATCAGATATAGTTTCTATCATATCAAACAGCTTGAAATTGATTTAACTCACATAAAATAAAATTGCCCTATATAAGGATATCTGAATCTGGATGACATCAGTGCCTCTGTATAAGGATATCTGAATCTGGATGACATCAGTGCCCCTGTCTAAGGATATCTGAATCTGGATGACATCATTGCCCCTATCTAAGGATATCTGAATCTGGATGACATCATTGCCCCTGTCTAAGGATATCCGAATCTTGATGACATCAGTGCCCCTGTCTAAGGATATCTGAATCTGGATGCCATCATTGCCCGTCTAAGGATATCCGAATCTTGATGACATCAGTGCCCCTGTCTAAGGATACCTGAATCTGGATGACATCAATGCCCCTGTCTAAGGATATCTGAATCTGGATGACATCAGTGCTCCTGTCTAAGGATATCTGAATCTGGATGACATCAGTGCCCCTGTCTAAAGATACCCGAATCTGGATGATATCAGTGCCCCTGTCTAAGGATATCTGAATCTGGATGACATCAGTGCTCCTGTCTAAGGATATCTGAATCTGGATGCCATCATTGCCCCTGTCTAAGGATATCTGAATCTTGATGACATCAGTGCCTCTATCTAAGGATACCTGAATCTGAATGACATCAGTGCTCCTGTCTAAGGATACCAGAATCTGGATGACATTAGTGCCCCTGTCTAAGGATATCTGAATCTGGATGACATCAGTGCCCCTGTCTAAGGATACCTGAATCTGGATGACATCAATGCGCCTGTCTAAAGATACCCGAATCTGGATGACATTAGTGCCCCTGTCTAAGGATATCTGAATCTGGATGACATCAGTGCCCCTGTCTAAAGATACCCGAATCTTGATGACATCAGTGCCCCTGAGGCATCTTACCTATTTTACCATTAACTAGAGTTATGTACTCCTTAGCTCAACAGGACTAGGGAGGGAAATCTGACATACTTTACCTTTAACTGGAGTTATGTGCCCTTACCTCTATAGGACTTGGGAGAGAAGTTTGTCGACTCAATGCTCCAGCATAGCTGTCTCCTCGCTGCAGAGGGCGGATGGCAGATACTGTCTTGTTTCTATCTTGTGGCTAGATATATACAAGAAATTTAAGATTGATTTTTTGTTTTCTTAAATATTTGTACACTGAAGACTTACATAAATATTTTATGTCACAGCTAAAATTTGTCCTTAAAAGCATTGTACTTGGTTATACAGAACAAATTGGTACCAGGTATTTAAATTTTGAAATTCTCTGTAAGAAATATTGTCTTAATTAAGCAGGACAAAGGATATGATCATGAAAACATCCTACTAAGTAAAGTTATTCAGCTGTTGAATTCTTGAGATAGGATCAAAATATTTATGGAGGAAATGTATGACGAAGACAATGTTAGGAAAATATGCTATTGATGATATAAAAATACAATACCAGAACAGAACATTAATTATATTTTTTTATGAAAATCTTATCACTGGTCTTGATGCTCAAGGTCTAAAATTGTGTGAAAAAGGTTCTGGGCAAAACAAGCTAACAACTTTCTGATAAATATCAATTCACAAAAAAAAGTAAACATCAATTTTATAAAATTATTCTTTGCAAAAAAGCATTTTACTATTAGCAAATAAAGAGAACTTTTTCAGGGAAGCTGTGACCACTGTTTTACTAGTTTATTAACCTTATAGTCAAATGATCATGCTTTTGAGAGTCTCTAGCCTTTCTCTCTTTCAAAAAGATCTGTTGAAAACTGAGAGACCGAATCTTGAATAAGATTTAAAAGCTGAAAAACAACAATAAATTAATCATCATAACATGCAAGTATTTGGTGGTAAACAAAAAAACAAAAAAAAATACATACTCGTTTGATTTTCTTGCCTTGTTTCTTTCTGATCAATTCATCCACGACAGACTGTAAACACATACTCATCAAAATAGCCTAAAAACAAACAAAGGAAGAATTATTGATGATAATATCAGTCAAATTATAGGCTTAATTAGGGATAGAATCACTATATTATGTAGGTTTCATAAAACTTTAATTTTTTTTTCTTCAGCAATTTTCTCTTACATATTATTTCAAAATTCGATCAGTAAATTTTCTGAATTTTTTTCTTACATATTAATTCAAAATTCAATATGTAAATTTTCTTAATTTTTTCTTACATATTATTTCGAAATTCTATCAATAAATTTTGCAAACAACCAAATATTTTTCAACAAACATCTCTTGACAAGTACATTATGACTGAATGCAAAGTTAGTGTACGTTGCAGAGACCTAAATTTTAAATATAAGTTCTATAATCCAGTTAAAACTATGTGTGAAACACAGCCATTAGTTAGGGAGAGCACTGACCTGATCACTCGTGATGGTGATCCACTTTAAGGAGTCCTTAGCCATAAGGTACTCAAATGCAAGTTCCAGACGCGGACTAGACGGATTTTTAATCTCCTCTTTACTGTCACTTAACTTAATGATAAAAGGTCAAGGTTATGGTAAATCAAGGGTATTTGAAACAGGGAAATTGGCATGGTTATTCTCAATATCATAACTTTAATGACTAATGGAATATCAAACAAAATGAAATACATTTTTACATATCAATACTGAGATTGCAAATAATTCCATCTGATGTGAACATCATAGAACAAAATTGTAATCATTTAAAACACACAATAAATTTGAAATATAACCTAGCTTGGTAGCAAACAGATGTTCACAAAGATATTTTCTCTTGACAGCTCTTAAATATGCTATATTAATTGGGCAATAAATCTCCATTTTTTTCCAAAAAAGACCCATGGACATTGGATATGTCTTGGAATATGAACTTCTCAAGAAAATGAATCATTTTACAGTTGAAACTGAACTTACACAAGTGGTGATCCTCCAACACCTCATTCTGGTAATGCGGAAATTGCCTTCCTTTATCACGTTCTACAATTGATAAGCATGCTGCCGATAATTTATTACATCTTCAATTCAAGAAACTCTTAACTACTTCACAATTATTTCATGAAACCAAAACATGCATCTAACAATTTATCTATTTTATCTATTAAAACATGTATTATGAACCTGAAAATTATCCCCTGGCTGAGACTATAGATTAATGACACCTAATATTCCAGTTCTCCACACACAAGAAAACAATGAGTATTTAACCCATTTAAGGTAGAGGAGGGGTTGGGGAAGAGATTCTCCAGCTGAAAAGCAACATGAACTACTAAGTGATCCAGTGCCTAAATGGTTAGGTTAATTACCAGATGCTCTGTGACCACATTCTGTAATGTCCACTTTGGTCAAACATGGTCACTGCTACATTGTTGATAGTGTTTTAACACTTCCATCTATAGCAGAATGACTCTACACTATGTGATCATGACCTCAGTGACCCTCAAGGTGGTTCATGCATTTGTGATTTACAGGTGTCATCTATGTGACCCCAAGTGACCTTGAAAGTACATGACCTACGTACCCCTGTAAGTATTTCACCCCAAGTGGCCGCAAATGTAGGTGACCCATGACAGGTGACTTTGAAAATATGTGACCGTGGTTTAATTACTTACAGGTGCTGTCTGTATCCTGAAGTTCATTTCTCTATTTCCGACAGACACAACAGCCCGTGAGTTTGGATTAGGGTAGTCTGTTACGCATGGCTTGAACTGCAGGTGGCCATAATATTTCAGAGTCCTTGCCAGTCGTAAATACTATTAAAAAAAAAGTTGTTGTTTTCTTCATATTTGGTTTTTCCATTCCTTTTGCAATACTTTAGAAACTAAAATATATTTAACATCTTGTCCTGTATTATTCACCTGCTCTGCAGATGATGAAGACATTGCAACACTTTGTTCAACCAAACAGAATGACTTTATGGTCCAGCGCACTAACAGCCAAATATCATGACACTGCGCCTTTTGGTTACCAGTATTGAAAAAGTGCTTAAAACTCAGATATATTTGATCCTCGTGAGCCTTGTGATCCTTATTTCATCATAACAAACTAAAGTTGTTTAATAAATATATAAGATCAGAAAAATATACTGTAAAACCATTTATTTTTGTCGGGCTCTAATTTTGTGCTTTTACAAAAATAATACAATTTGGTAGGTACTTGATTTCATTGATAAATCCACTAAACTATTAATACTCTACCTTTTCACCTGTTTATTGTTTTAAGGACATATAAATTTCTAGATCAATAATCACCACAAAATATATTATCTCCCAACTCTCCTGCTAAAATTAATTATACAGTAAAAGAATGTTTTTTTCAAAGAATACCTGAGTATGGTGTTATCTTCATTTCTTACCTCACGCTTTGATCCTTTACTTTGTAGAGACGACAAATGCTTAAGTTGGTCTTTACTGCCAAGTGTCCAGTGTCTTTCTATATCATTAACAGCCTATAAATAACATAATCAATCATTCAAACACCTCTCAACCCAGAGTAGAAAGACAAACACAGGTATAAACATTTATAGAGCTTCACCTCTCAACCCAGAGTAGAAAGACAAACACAGGTATAAACATTTATAGAGCTTCACCTCTCAACCCAGAGTAGAAAGACAAACACAGGTGTAAACATTTATAGAGCTTCACCTCTTAACCCAGAGTAGAAAGACAAACACAGGTATAAACATTTATAGAGCTTCACCTCTCAACCCAGAGTAGAAAGACAAACACAGGTATAAACATTTATAGAGCTTCACCTCTCAACCCCAGAGTAGAAAGACAAACACAGGTATAAACATTTATAGAGCTTCACCTCTAAACCCAGAGTAGAAAGACAAACACAGGTATAAACATTTATAGAGCTTCACCTCTCAACCCAGAGTAGAAAGACAAACACAGGTATAAACATTTATAGAGCTTCACCTCTCAACCCCAGAGTAGAAAGACAGACACTGGTATAAACATTTATAGAGCTTCACCTCTCAACCCAGAGTAGAAAGACAGACACTGGTATAAACATTTATAGAGCTTCACCTCTCAACCCAGAGTAGAAGGACAAACACAGGTAAAAACATTTATAGAGCTTCACCTCTCAACCCCAGAGTAGAAAGACAAACACAGGTATAAACATTTATAGAGCTTCACCTCTCAACCCAGAGTAGAAAGACAAACACAGGTATAAACATTTATAGAGCTTCACCTCTCAACCCCAGAGTAGAAAGACAAACACAGGTATAAACATTTATAGAGCTTCACCTCTCAACCCAGAGTAGAAAGACAAACACAGGTATAAACATTTATAGAGCTTCACCTCTCAACCCAGAGTAGAAAGACAAACACAGGTATAAACATTTATAGAGCTTCACCTCTCAACCCAGAGTAGAAAGACAAACACAGGTATAAACATTTATAGAGCTTCACCTCTCAACCCCAGAGTAGAAAGACAGACACTGGTATAAACATTTATAGAGCTTCACCTCTCAACCCCAGAGTAGAAAGACAAACACAGGTATAAACATTTATAGAGCTTCACCTCTCAACCCCAGAGTAGAAAGACAGACACTGGTATAAACATTTATAGAGCTTCACCTCTCAACCCAGAGTAGAAAGACAAACACAGGTATAAACATTTATAGAGCTTCACCTCTCAACCCTAGAGTAGAAAGACAAACACAGGTATAAACATTTATAGAGCTCGACCTCTCAACCCAGAGTAGAAAGACAAACACAGGTATAAACATTTATAGAGCTTCACCTCTCAACCCAGAGTAGAAGGACAAACACAGGTATAAACATTTATAGAGCTTCACCTCTCAACCCAGAGTAGAAAGACAAACACAGGTATAAACAATAATAGAGCTTCACCTCTCAACCCAGGGTAGAAAGACAAACACAGGTATAAACATTTATAGAGCTTCACCTCTCAACCCAGAATAGAAAGACAAACACAGGTATAAACATTTATAGAGCTTCACCTCTCAACCCAGGGTAGAAAGACAAACACAGGTATAAACATTTATAGAGCTTCACCTCTCAACCCAGAGTAGAAAGACAAACACAGGTATAAACATTTATAGAGCTTCACCTCTCAACCCAGAGTAGAAGGACAAACACAGGTATAAACATTTATAGAGCTTCACCTCTCAACCCAGAGTAGAAAGACAAACACAGGTATAAACATTTATAGAGCTTCACCTCTCAACCCAGAGTAGAAAGACAAACCCAGGTATAAACATTTATAGAGCTTCACCTCTCAACCCAGGGTAGAAAGACAAACACAGGTATAAACATTTATAGAGCTCCACCTCCAACCCAGAGTAGAAAGACAAACACAGGTATAAACATTTATAGAGCTTCACCTCTAAACCCAGAGTAGAAAGACAAACACAGGTATAAACATTTATAGAGCTTCACCTCTAAACCCAGAGTAGAAAGACAAACACAGGTATAAACATTTATAGAGCTTCACCTCTAAACCCAGAGTAGAAAGACAAACACAGGTATAAACATTTATAGAGCTTCACCTTTCAACCCAGAGTAGAAAGACAAACACAGGTATAATCATTTATAGAGCTCCACCTCTCAACCCAGAGTAGAAAGACAAACACAGGTATAAACATTTATAGAGCTTCACCTCTCAACCCAGGGTAGAAAGACAAACACAGGTATAAACATTTATAGAGCTTCACCTCTCAACCCAGAGTAGAAAGACAGACACTGGTATAAACATTTATAGAGCTTCACCTCTAAACCTAGAGTAGAAAGACAAACACAGGTATAAACATTTATAGAGCTTCACCTCTCAACCCAGGGTAGAAAGACAAACACAGGTATAAACATTTATAGAGCTTCACCTCTCAACCCAGAGTAGAAAGACAGACACTGGTATAAACATTTATAGAGCTTCACCTCTAAACCCAGAGTAGAAAGACAAACACAGGTATAAACATTTATAGAGCTCGACCTCTCAACCCAGAGTAGAAAGACAAACACAGGTATAAACATTTATAGAGCTCGACCTCCAACCCAGAGTAGAAAGACAGACACTGGTATAAAAATTGATACAGCTTCACCTCTCTCTTCCAAAATTCCAAAACAGTGTTGAAGTTTGACCTTTGGTCCTTTCATCATAACTGACAGCTTCCCAAACAGTACTTAATGTAACCAATATGGATTAAACAATAGATATATAAAGTATTTGTTCAGTAACAGTTAACCAGTGATTAGTGATTAGCATTTTAAGCAACTAAGGCCAGACAACTTCGTGTCTCATACAGACATATTTTGCTTTATCACATGATTGTCTTGTTACACAGTGAATATACCCATGACATATTTTTATATATGGAATAGATGTACTGTAATAGCTGAAATGTGAAGTCACTTTTGATAACCAAATGACATTACACATTCAGAGATAGCATTGTAACTTAGCAATGGAGATTACACATATGTCGATATCAGACATAGAAATGTCTACTATCTACCCTACTTGTTTGTAAAATTGATCATGTGATCTAAAGGCATGCTAAAATGAACAAGAGGCTCATGGGCCTTAACGGTCATCCGACATAAAATACAAGATTTCAAATTTTGAAGTTGAGAAGAAGTCGAAGATGTGTTTTCAAGACAGCGGCCATGTTGGATTTCTTTGGTCAGGATCGTGTCACGATCATTTCAAGTAAGTTTCAGCTCAATGAGACATGTAGAACTTAAGAAGAAGTTGAAAATCTTTACGACGGACGATGTACGACGCTGGACAAAAGGTGATCACAATAGGTCATCAGACCCTTCAGTCAGATGACATAAAAATTCTTAAGACTCATTTCATAAATCCGCATAATTATTAAATCGAAACTCAAGTATGATCCTATATTTCTGCAATCTTGTAGCAGTGATATTGGGACTGAGTTGGTTGTTTATTCACAAACAAATCTGATAAACATTTTGAGGATGGACAACAAATCATTTCTGTGAATGCTATATAACCTGAAATGATGACATTTTAGTTACTCAAACATACCTGCACATACAGAAGATTCATGGAAATTTTGTTCTCCAGAAGGTCATCTTCGTATGATAAGTCCCAAAAACTGGAAGAAAAACAGTTTACTTCCCAATTTGTTGTTATCATCAAAATAAATGAAAGTACTTTTTCATATTTCAGTTATGTCAAAACAAACAAGATATTCTCTGATCCTTTCATTTTTCTCTGACAGATTGAATATACTATTTCGTAATAACGGAAAAAGTGAGATAATTCATTTAGCAAAGTGGGTCCTTAACCATAGATTACTTAATACTGATTTTATCAACTCCAAAACCAACATAATTATTTTAGTTGAAAGATCTGATCTAGAATGTTTGGAAAATAAGTGCCGAGAGAGAAAGTGCCACTCTAAAATGTGTACCCTCTCAGTTTTAGGTGTAAAATCAAGGATATAGAGTATAGCATACTCGTACCTAGTACGTGTTTTAATCCTGCAGACAGAAACTCATAAGACTTTGTGAAAAGATGTCTCAAAGGTAAAGGATCTTAAATATTTATGTTTTATGAAGGTTTAAATTTCTTCCTATCACACCCCTAATACCTTAAAACAAATATATCTTATCAGTACACTCAATTTAATGTAGATCAGCATTCCAAAGATTGATAATACAAATATTGGTGGGTGTGATAAATTTGGATTTTCTATTTAACCTCACCTTTTTCTGAAGACTATTCGATGTGTACCCGACTTGTTTGCATATTTCAATGAGATGAATGGAGATTCAAATTCTTGTAATTTTCTGACAACTGAAAATGAATGCATTACAAATCACATGAGAGGGAAAATTTGTTTCTATACAAAGAATGTTAATGACCAGTACAAAATGATACAAACATCATGTTGCTGAGTGCTATCTTAATACTTCATCTTGAATTTCTACCATGTGAAATGATATTCTTAACTCTAATGTTAACAGAACAAAATACAGATAACGATAGTAGTTAAGTTTAACTGTGTGCTTTTTGATAAACAAACTGGCTCCTTTATTCTAAAATTCAATATTGTATAATTATGCTTAATCAAAATGTAAAAAAGACATACTAGAGTTATCTCCTGCGACTTCCTTCTGCACAAGGAAAAGACCAAAATAGTAAACATAGTCATCTGGTAGTTCTATCTGGGATGCCACAGCCTGCAATATATCAAATGAAAAATCTTGGATGAAATTTTATCTACATAAAAATTCTCAATATCAAAACAAAAAAATCACATTGGGTGAAATTTTATCTGAAAAGCATGCAATAAAACTTCTCAATATCAAAACAAAAACAGTGGTTCCACACATTTCTTTGTGAAGCATGAAATAAAATGTCTGCATTTCCTTAAACATGATTATCATATTTAATGTCATCACAGGGGAAGAGTGGGATGGACATCTCCAAATCATTCTGAGAACTATTCAATACCCTTTTGATATCAATTTTCACAGGTTTGTGATTTGCAATATCTGCTTAAAGTCAGATATTTAGCTCATGAAATCATACTTCAAGTTGATAACTTTTTCTAGTATTTTTTTTCTTTCACACATTCGAGTACTGTTCATGTCCACAAGTCTAGGTAAAAAGTTATTATAAAAACAATAATTGCCCTTAACATAGCCTACAGCCAAAGTATACCATATAGACAAAACCTGTACATAACACAAATTAAACTTCTATATTGATAATCACCTCTAGGACATCATCTGTCTGATCTGTTGACTTAATGTTTATCGTGATCTTGTGGCCATTCATCAAATACACATCCAGCGTCACATCTTCTGATGCTTCCTTTTGAGTTTCCTAAAATCAACAATGGAAAGAATTTAAAAAGCAAGTAAAGTTTTTTGTGAAATTGGATATGAAATCTGTAGAAGACTTTGTTAACGTTGTGCCTTATTGTTGGGGAAACTGTTTAATGACATACTTTTTCTTCTGATTTCTTTCTTTGAAAAAATATATTGTATGCAAACAGCATTCTGGGTTTTCCATAAGAGCCCGTCGCCGGCCAATTTGACCGGCTACTTTGATCATTTGGCCGTCTACACCAATCCAGTTCCAAAATAATGTTCCGTACACGACTACACATACACGGCAGGCCAGCCTCCTACTTTCACTACACAGCCTAATAACTAAAAAATTATGGAAAACCCTGATCATTCTTTCAGCTAGTGTTCCTGTTAAAATGACACAATGTCTTCATAACCTAGTCATTGATAAAAGTATACCAGTATTTGTTTACTGGATCTATTGTTGGGCCACACTGACGCAGGATCTCCCTGTAGTAGCCAATGACTACTTCACTGACCGCGCTGTTAAGTATGATAACCAGCTGTATGTTACAGACAGCTACAGCAAATATAGAGTCTTGCCCAAGCACACACACATCCATCAAAGCACAGAACCCTAACTTTTTCAGGAAACACAAATCACCATTGGTAAGGGTTAAACCTCACACCTAGGATCTTTTCCCGAGGTGAAGCAGGCCAAGAATTTACTGGCTGAGTTATCATGATCCCTGAAATCAGGCTGAATACAATTCCTCATCAGAGCTAGATACCTATATATATGTGGCTGTTTACCTGTTGAGCACTGAGAAGAAATCCATTGAACACATCACTGTTGGCAATCTTTGGATCTTGGCTTACTGCAAAGAGATTCATGTATATAGCAACGTATATATGAGTTTTACAGATCAAATGAAGTAAATAATTTCAGTTAGAGATAGAATTATGTAAGCAAAATGTATGCCTATTTAACGACTGCTTCTCTTTTTTGCACATTAATAAAATTTGGTCCTAGTTTAACGGAAGCCAGAGGGCCAGTCTGTAACAGACATTGCCACTGACAGTTGATATTGGTGCCAAATCTGATCTTTTTTATACTTTTTACTTTCGTTTCTTTCTTAAGAGATTTTGTTTACTTTTTAAAGAAAAGCACAGAGTTTTGTTGTTTCATCCTATCACTTTTACCTGTTTAAGTTGATTAAAAACCTATTTATATCAGAGTTTGCTGTTAATCTTGTTCGATCTTAATACATCTCAAGATTAAATGCAATATATCATGATATTAATCGCAAAAAGCAACAAAAACCAACTCCTAGTACCATACATACCAATTTGTACAAATTTCTCAAGCAGTATCCTTCTCTCATCCAGTTTTAGTGGAGACAGAGGGAAGAGCTTCTTGGGTGGAAAATGTGGAAGTTGATTGGCACCAAATTCTTTTTTCAACTAAGATATGGTAAAAAAAGAAAAAGGCATGTGGTTATTAAAAGATTTATTTCTTTCAGTTATTGTATTGAATCAGGAATCAGTCACCCACGGTAAAAGTAATCAGTCACACCTGATCAAAGCAATCAGTCATCCATGATCAAAGTAATCAGTCACACCTGATCAAAGCAATCAGTCACCCATGATCAAAGTAATCAGTCACACCTGATCAAAGTAATCAGTCACACCTGATCAAAGTAATCAGTCACACAAGATCAAAGTAATCAGTCACACCTGATCAAAGTAATCAGTCACACCTGATCAAAGTAATCAGTCACACATGATCAAAGTAATCAGTCACACCTGATCAAGGTAATCAGTCACACATGATCAGTTATTTGATAGTGTAGGAATATAGCTTTCATAATAATACTAAAGGGTACAAATGTTAAGCAGAGCTACACAACAGCCAACTGAAAGAGCTCTAGGACAATTTCAGAAAATTATCACAAAAAAAGATAAAGTCAATTATACGACCAGAATTGAGAGTGATATAGATATTAGAAACAGCTGACTCAGTGTTTACATGATAACAAAAATGTTATATTAGAGTACACACTTACTTTGGGTAAGAATTTCTGGGTCAGTTATATATCATGAACCTAATATAAGTATGCATACATGTCTCTGTATATAAAATGTACTGTATCACAAGATTGCACAAACAAAATGAAATTTATTGCTTGAGCATGCATTCCAAATTTTCATTTTACTTGTCTTAAACATACTTTTTGATATGACAAAATTACTGAATCAAATCTAGACATACATAATTATACAATATATAGTGAGGTGGTAGGACACAACAAGTCGGGGATGGTATGTTTTAGATTTCTTTACTGTCAACTAGTTTTGCCTGTGAAGGCTTCGATGGTATATAATACATGTATTGAGAAAATTTGAATGAACATCGTGAAATTTTGTAAAACAATATTTACATCCAAAGTAAATTTGGATCAAAATGTTATTTCTCTTAATCTTCTCTTCTAATTCAATTCCATTATCATTGACACTGTTATAATGTCTGCATGAACAAACATTGATTTCCTTTTTGCTATTTGCAATTGCTAGAAATTGGGTTATTTTCCCAAAATTAAAAACAAGTCATGAATATACCTTCCTAATCTTTAAGAAAAATGTTTTAGCAATTTTAAAAGCTGCTGTAATTATCACTGGCACATAATTAAGGGGAAATGACACTGAAATATAGGTTTTATACTTCAATGTCATTTCAAACTTAAATTTTGCCAAAATTCCATCAAATTTTCTACTTTAAGCCAGGGCCTATTGTTGGTTAAATATGTAATATACTCACTTGTTCATGAAATGTATGTAGCACACTGTAGCGAACAGAACAGTGAAACATTCCATTGATATGAATGTTAAACGTCTGAAATAAAAACAGAAATGATTAAGGTATTGTTTCATTTATACAATTATTTAAGATATTGTAGCAAAACTGTACAAGGTCAATTGTCAGTGACTTAGTAGCCCAGCGGCAAATGTGTATATTGTTGTTAATTTTGTGACAAAAAGGGCTACAAAATGGTGCCCATGTAGGGACCCAGGAATAGTACTTAGCCATGCCCCACCAGTGTTACTTTCACACGTACTGCTGTGACCCGTGGACAAGTTTTATCCTAGAGAAGGAGTATGTAACCCTGGTAAAATACTAGTCGCAAAATACTGCTCAGCTAGAGATAACTTCTCTTTAGCTGGATCGTTTGAGCATCAGACTAGTAAGCCAGGTGTCCCAGGTTCAATTCCTAGTGGAGGCATTGTAATTAATTATGACCTCTGTTACAATACATTGATTGGTAATTGAAAGTGGATCTGTGTAATGGGTATTCATCAATTGTATTATCCACATGTATTGCATCATTTTTTTTTTTTTTTTGGGGGGGGGGGGTACAGTTTGTGAATACACAGCTTCTCTGAAGCACTAACATATATATGGAATCTCTCTGCTGAATGTTTGAATTGTTAGCACTAGTTAGCTAGTCCCACCCTAACTCGTCCCATCCTAGACATTTGACAGCTGAAATGTCCAAAGTTTGATAAGTTCCATATATGATAAGAAATAATCAAAATTTGTTTTTGCAAAACAATAAGAATGAGCCTGGGACATGAATGCATGTTTTCATTCCATGAAACATATAAGATAGTAGTTTGAGGGAAACCACTATCAATAGCATTCCACCATATCCTAATCACATGGCAAATGGCAATGCCTGATTGTGAAGATTTTGTTATTGTCATTATCTATTTTTTGTGCAACTTGAAATGCAATACTGCTATGCCTAATGCAGTTGCATGATGACAATAATTAATTATGTAATAATGGAAAATACGAAATCATGAAACAATGAAAAGGTTGTTTAACAGGTAAATATTACAGGCATGTGCGTTAACGAATTTCTTAAGGTGTACACAAGGTTCTAAAGTCTTATGCGCAGTTTAACTCTGGTACATGCACGTGAATAAGAAAATGAAAATGAATTAGCAGTCCATCTTTCGCTACCGAGTGACATTATCTCTAGTGTCAGATGCCCTGTATATACCGTGAATGTTGTGCCATTCCCATCCTGTTGCTCCTGTGTCTCTGGTATGGAGAAATGCATCTTGTATCTTATGTCAGAGACTCTGTATTACGTTAATAATCAATCCGACTGATTTGACAAGTAGTGGGAACACTCCCCTTCCGCCATGTTTTTCCTTGTCATATCACGTGACTTTTCGGTAGGTAAGTGTTGTAAACGGAACTTCACTCCAAAAAGCATATATCATTTTGAACAAATGTTCATTAGTCCAAAATTTATCAAATAATGATCTGAGCCCTGTAAAAAATGTGTAGAACAGCTACATACAGTAGCAGGTGGTTTGTTTTCATTTTACCGGAAATACAGAACCGGAAGCTGTAAGATCGATACTTGCGCAGTACGAAAACACGTTAACCGAGCCGGTAAGTTATCCGGTTGTAATCTTTACCTTTCTGTAACTAAAAGGACGAAATGGCACCAGTACCAGTTGCGACAGAGGGTAAGAAGACAGGTGTGAATGCTGTCCTGCTTGGACCACCTGGTTCTGGGAAAGGAACACAGGTAAATATGGATATCATGACGTGTCAAATTGACTTTCACTTTATCATTGAGACGTGCATGTGCCTGTAGTATGCAGGCCAATTGTTGATTACCACTCCATGCGTTGTTGATAGACCGTATCGAATCATTGAGATTTGATCATTTGTTTACTATTTGAAATTTGCATTATTCGATATCATAATTGTAGTTATATTTTATATTTATTACTAAATCAATATTCCTTACAGTAGTTTCTAAGTAGAGACTCGTCTACAGCACATGGACATCCCAATCTGATTAAAATTCAAATCTTTATGTTCGCTTCCTTACTCTCCGCATAAGGAGCTGGCATTAACATGGAATGTGGGTGAAATTGCTTGCATGATCAATTTATGCTTCAAATCGTTTCATCTCATCATGTCAATAAAAGCTAGTATATACTTACATGTCATCCTGATTAAAATGTTGGTTTCTTTCATTACCTTAATGCAGAGAGTAATGTAGCAAGACTTAGGATATTGATTTCAATGATATTTTACATCATCATTGATCATGTTGTAAAGAAATGTCTTCCTGTAGACGAAACTATAGAGGGATAACACCAGGGGTGGAGGCACAATGTCCCACAATCATATAGAGGGATAACACCAGGAGGTGGAGGCACAACATCCTACAATCATATAGAGGGATAACACCAGCGGGGGTTGAAGGCACAATGTCCCACAATCATATAGAGGGATAACACCAGGGGGGTGGTGGCACAATGTCCCACAATCATATAGAGGGATAACACCAGGAGGTGGAAGCACAATGTCCCACAATCATATAGAGGGATAACACCAGGAGGTGGAAGCACAAATTCCCACAATCATATAGAGGGATAACAACAGGGGGGTGGAGGCACAACGTCTCACAATCATATAGAGGGATAACACCAGGGGGTGGAGGCACAACGTCTCACAATCATATAGAGGGATAACACCAGGGGGTGGAGGCACAAAGTCCCACAATCATGTAGAGAGATAAGTTTAGAGGCTAAACTATTTAGTACATCTATGCTACACGAAAATACACAAAGTTGCCCTACACTAGCCTTTAATTGAAGTAAACTATGCTGATTTTAATTGAGATGATGTAATAATAGTATAATAATTATTTACTACAAACATTAAATCAGCTAACTGAATGTCAGCATTTTCTTTGGTCACAGTTCTATAACATATTGTTGTATTTACTAATGAAAGTTAATTTGCCTTGGAAAACAATGTTATCTTGGTCTTATTTTAAGAAAATTCTGTAAACTATTAGAATAACAGCCTGTGGCCATGGGTCAATCATCATGACACAGAAAGTTTGAAAAGTTTTGAAAATGAGAATTCAGAATGGGATATAATCATTGTTTAACTTCTGAAGAATGAAAGTAAAGAAAACAATATAATATACAAGAAGAGATGCTAAAGCAAATATATATATAATGTAATCTGACTGAAAGAAAACAAGTGAAGTGATTCTATCCATCTTCTGTTGGGAGTCAAATTTTTTCTTTTTATGATTTTTTCTCAATAACCATGAGGTCTATATTCATAGTATTGTGATGGGATGAAAGGCTATAGAATAATCAATTTGTTCAATTGTCAGAATGGCCTACACTCAAGGTCACATGGGTCAGGAGTTTTTAGATTTAAAACTTCACCTGATATATAGTTCAGAATCAAGAATCATATTTTGAACAAAGGTGTTTATAATACTGGATAGACAGTGAATGTTAATGGCTTTCACATTTGTGTCAATAACCGTGACCAAATTTCAAGATAATCCACTAAATATTTAATAAGAAACATTGAAATAAGTTGAAATGACTGAATTCATAATTTAAGTAATTTAGACTTACCAGTATTTTAAGGACTAATATGTGTAGTCCAATGGATCACATGATTAAAGGTTAAAAACATTTCAAAGAATAGTTTTTCGGAAGTAGATACTCATAAAAGTTTTATGATAAATGGGGTAAGATTAACTGGATGAACAGTTTTGGATGACTTTTCAACAACTGTTATAGGCCAAAATTCAAAAATGTAGCGTGAAGGTTTTCAAGTTTTCATTAGAACAAAGCATTTTCGTTAAAGTCTGCAGCTCTGATTTAGGGCAATGTGGCTGGAGTCTTGTTTTGGTAAGAACTATTTAAATTACAAATGGAATGGTATAGCAATAAAGTTCAAAAGAGGTTTATCAGAACACATTTGTTCTTAGTTGTGAGTTGTTTAAACTTTCAGTAAAAAGGTACTGGACTTGTCAATAAGCACTCATTATATAATTGTATAAATGTATTAATTGATAAAGCAAGCTTCTGGTATGGAGAGACTATACAGTTTGGAAGTGCTCACATCTCAATATTATTCATCAGGTATTACCTGCATTTGTTTAAAACAAACAATATCATTTACATATAATATGTGCTGTAACAACAACATCAATACATCAGTTCCTATTCCAGCTAAATATCTTTACTTTAGTCTCAAACATCCTAACGGAGAATCATGTCATGACTCTTTCTATTTTAATCTGGCTTCTCCAGGGTTTATAGGCCTATGAAAACCCTGATAAAGGTACACACAGGTGCCCTTTAGGTCAGTAACTGGAGTAGTACATCAGTACTAGCAGTGTATCAGTGTGTCTTTATCACTACACATAGATCATACTTGTAAACCTTAACCTATATCAGGTCTTAAGGTTTTCAGAATTGTTCATGTTTGGAAAATACATTTATATTAAAATAAATATAGCATAATACAACCTTCACAAAGAGGATCTCCATTTGTTTTAGATATGAATCATATGGTCCAAAGAACTTTAGTGCTTTTAAAATGTACTGTAATTTTCTTTAAAAAGAATTCACACAAGAGTCTGCATGTAGTCTGTCATGTACTCATCCTTAGGTGAAATGAGCTCAGATTTGAGTTCAAGTTGGGGCTTTATGCTCAAATGTTGCCATAATGTTTGTTGTAGGTGAGTTTCTTAAGAAACTGCGTTTAAAGGTCCATTTAGAACTGATCACACAGGGTCGACATTACATATGGCTACATGTTCACTTAATCATCATCAGCTTAAGTTTCATTAGAAGTGGCTATTTACAACTTAATTATACCTTTTCATAAACTACCTACATGTAACATAAAATTTAACAGATTAATTCATGTGTGTATGCTTGGCCATGCACACAAAAATTTAATACAAAATTAATTATTAACATATTAATTATAATAAATATGGAGTTTGATTTTCAATTATAATGACTTTCTCATGTTATGTTTTTCAATGATTGTTTTAAACATAACATTGTTTCATATTATTTTATGTTTTGTTTCAGGCTCCAATGCTGGCTGATATGTACAAGGTGTGTCATCTGTCTACAGGTAAAACAACTGTTATTATAAACAATTTATATTATTTTTTTGATAAGTGTTATTACCTAATTTAGCAGTTCTTCTGTATTGTTTTCATGTCTGAGAGTCTTTGTTAATTGTATTTTAACTTAAAGTGATGGTCCTCAATCAAAGATCAATTCTAGGTCTGACACAGTTAAAGGTGTATTCAGCGTTAGTTAGGGGTTGGATGTCACCAGAAATTAAATTACCTCCTAGGAATAGGAAGAGTCATGGTAGCCAACCTACAAATCGATTTCATATGATGCTTTTTAGCCCACCAACATCAAATTGCTCTGCATCCATTGTTCATCTGTCCATTGTCTGTCTATGTTCCATCTGTCCATCGTCTGTCCATGTTCCATCTGTCCATAAACAATTTTCGTCATAGCTATTTCTTGAGAAGTACTGGATGGATCTCTCTTAAATCTCATATATAGATTCCCCTTGGTCGTCTCTAGTTGTGCCTGTCTAATTTTGGGACTGATCAAAGTTACAAATAGCTAAAAGGCAGCGATCTTTGATTTTGACTTTTTTTATCACTATTTCTTGAGAAGTACTTGATAGATCTTTCTCAAATTTCATATGAAGGTTCCTCTTAGGCCTTTGTGTCAGCTTGATTTTGGTATTGATCAGAAAAAAAGAAATGACCCACAAGCACTTATTACAGAACACAGAAATAACATTTGTTGAAACACTAACAAAAGTAAACATTTCAATAAGGTGGACTTATTACCTTGTAAGTGTAATGCATAATTTCCCACCTCTGTACCTTTACATGGGGGTTACTGGTATTATTATTGAGCTGATTCTGGAATGAATATAAAGTAGATCAGTGCTGATTATCTTTTTACATCAAAATGTTGTGATTCAAATTTTGCAGGTGACATGCTGAGAGCTGTTATAGCTTCTGGATCAGAGTTGGGAAAACGTATCAAGGGCGTAATTGATGAAGGAAAACTTGTCAGTGATAGTCTTGTAGTAGAACTCATTGATGACAATCTTGGAAAACCTGAATGTAAAAATGGATTTCTGCTGGATGGATTTCCACGAACCATCAAACAGGCAGAGGCTGTAAGTGGAATCTTTGAATGAGTTAGCTCCCTTTAAGATTACTTTTTGTCTCTCCCCTGAAACATCCTGCTTTTTTCCCCTGTTTAGGTCATCTGACCGAAGGGTCTCAAGTTCTGCATTTCTCATTGAACTGAAACTTACCTGAAATGGTCGTGACATGATCCTGACCAAAGTTTGTTAATTTTGGGTTGGTTCAAAATCCAACATGGCCATCATCTTGAAAACACATTTTCAACTTCTTCTCAAGTTCAAAATTTGAAATCTTTTATTTTATGTCAGATGACCATTAAGGCTCATGGGCCTCATGTTTTTTAGACAAAGCAGCTTGTTTGCACTTTAAAGGTAACATTAATCATGTCAGACCTGCTGAAATAATACACTGGCCTCAGCAGGCTGAATCAGTGCTTCTCTGAAAGATCAGTTCTTATTTCATAGGCAAACAACCTTGGTCCATATGTTCAGACTGAGAAACAAAAAATGACCCCGTAATTCTCCTTGTTGGTCAACATATATGAATGAATGCAGATAATGATTAAGAACAAGATAAACATCCCTAATTACTATCTTTCCCTGATTGTATAAGAGAAACAAGGGTTAATAGTTGATTTTCAGTGTAATAAATATGAAATCCTTGTAGAATGACATTTAGAAATGTTTTTATTTCAGTTGGATGGTTTATTGTACAGCAGGAAAACCAAATTGGATGCCTGCGTAGAATTTAGTATAGATGACTCTCTGCTCGTCCGAAGAATCACTGGTCGTCTCATCCACACCAAGAGTGGACGATCCTACCATGTCGAGTTCAACCCTCCAAAAAAGGAGATGACTGATGATGTGAGTGACATTTTGACATTTTTTCACAGTATAATAAACAGTTAGCACTGAACAAATTAAAATTAATTTTCCTGTAATTTCAATAATTAAACATTATAATAGGATGGAAACATCAAACTTGATCACAGTACATTTGATTAGAGGTTTCTATATTAGGTCTAATCCATTTAAATGTTTGTCATTCAAGAGGATTCCAGATGTGAAAAAAGGGGTCTATAAGTGGTGCATGCAGTATATCATAGGATAAAGTTTAAATTACATCTGTGATTCAGTTCTCTCTAATGAAAGATTTGAAAGACATTGAATTTTCAAGTTTGGAGTATATACTACTAGAATGGTATTTATCCTAACAAACACAAAACTCTGTGTAATATTACTACTTACAGGAAAGTGTTTCCTTGTGAGATATGTTAAGACATGAGACTTTAGTAGAAGAATAATATTAAAGTGATTCAAATTCTAATTAGGTTGAACCCATTTGAAGGAATATGAATTTGAAGTGGTATTTAAATCTTTTTTACATTTCCTCTACAACAGGTGACAGGGGAGCCCCTCATTAGACGATCAGACGATAATGAAGAAGCGTTGAGGAAACGTCTCGATTCATACCACAAACAGACGAAGCCACTCGTGGAATACTACAGCAAGCGCAATATTCACACAGCTATTGATGCATCACAACCACCCAAAGTTGTGTTTGCTTCCATTAGGAAAATATTCGATAGGAACCAGATCCTCGCAAACTTAAAAGGAAAATTCAGTTGAATAAAATTTGATACATATATTGTACTTTTATTTTTACGTTGTCACTTTTTAAGAACAGGGTTTCAACCTTGCAATTTGTTAAAGGGTACAACTGAATGACAGGGAAACATTTTTAATATAGCTCTTGTTACATCTGACTTTTTGTTGTTGTTTTTTTCCCACCATCTTAACTTTCAGGTAATGCAAAAAAAATGGTATCATACAAGAAATGACTGTCTTCTATACTACTGTGTGCCTATTAGGCACGGTCAATCATGCGTAACAAGGACTTTGTACTGCCTAAAAGCAGGTATTGTGACAAAATTGAGCAATGTCATGTATGTGGTAGTGCTATTTAAATTATGATGTAACAGTGTCTAACAAAATCCAAAAATCATGAACACTTGAAGCGTTCAAATGAAGTAACAGGGACAGAAATAAGCACACTGGTTCACTTGGTTTGAAAGACATGGCATGGCATAGGTATTCAATCCCCTCGCGACAACCATGTGCGTTATGTAAAAGTTGAAATATGTTCAAAAATTTGTTTAAAGGAAAAAAAGTGGCCACATCGTATGTTCATAAAAATGGTTTGAAGAGTAAATTTTAGTTCTATGACTAAATGGCAGCTAGTGTGACTGTATATACGTCTATGAATTCCTGTCTAGCATAGCCAGTTTTGTCTTTCTGCTGATCTGTGACAGATGTGTTTTGCTGTCTTCCACCTTTCACTGATTTTCCCGAAAGTTAAATAGGTTAGTCCTATTGTATACTCACCAGGTCATTTAACTCCATGATTCTTACTTGGGTTTCAGCAACGGATAATCTTGATTGCTGAACCTCCCTATCAGCCATTTTTGTGTTTGTAAACTCCTCAACTTTACTATGCATGGTCATTTTGAAACTTGCTGGATAGAAGTGGTGATTGTATTTTATAACATTGAAGTACTTTGGTTTCTTGTTTGTTAGTATAAATCAATCGTCCACTGTTTAAATTAGAAAAAAACAGGCTAAATTGAGTTTCAGTGGTGCTGTGCCCTTTTGAAAACTGATTGACAATGAAAATAAAATACATTTTATTGATAAGGACATTTATATTAACAGATAAAATTTCGGTTGATTTTATATATACATGTATTTGTAATTTTTATGATAACATACATATTTTTAACCCGCCATCATAAACACTGCTATTTCTTGCATAGCATTTGATGGATTGTTCTCAAATCTTATTCTTAGGTAATCTCCATTGTCCCTAGTTGTGCATTGTCCATCTTAGAACCAGGAAAAAATTTGGTCGACAGTCTACCATCTTTGATTTTGACAATTGTAATCTGTAATTGCTATTTCTAGGTAGGCACTGAATGGATCATTCTCATATGTAGGTATCCTTAGTCACAAATTGTGTGTTAGTTTTTGGATTGAATGGGAAAAACAAATTAGTTAACACCTGGTGGCCATCTTGGATTTTGTCAGTTTATTATTTTTAATCGCTATTTATTGATGAGTTCTACATTTTGTAGACTGATCAATCTCAAATTTCATACACTTCTTATTCATAGTTTCAACTGATCACTGGCTAGTCATATGTTGACCATTATTTATTTTGAATCTGTTGGTGTACAGTCTGATCTTAATAATACACACTCCAGTTATTCAGAAATCTCAGTCTGGCTTGAAATCCTTTGGTTTCTGTTTACAAGATTTACTAGCCAGAATCAGCGTGTAACAGTTGTTAGAGGGAAATCAGCTGTGGAAAACAAAGAAAGGAAAAATCACCTTCCCTAGTAATGCTGTAGGGGTACAGCAGCATTTGGTTTTTGCATGTTAAGTGTCCCTTAAGAAATCACGTAAAAAATACCCTGATTTTCAGTGGGCCCACATTTACTGATTTAGGAACATGCAGTGGGATACAGCAAACCTTATTTTTTTTATTCTTTAATGTCCTCTAAAGAGATGACATCAGAGAGACCACCTCATGACCTACAGAGGGTGTCATACGATGAGTCGCCCCATGCAACATAAAGTAACATATAGCAGGCATTGTCTTCCCTCACCTGCATTTTCTCAACATTACTTTAACTTGAAAATAATAAAGATAATTCTGAAACAATTTGATAAAATATTGACAGCAAATAAAAGTGACTGTTTATGGATTATCATCTCGAAGTATATAATATCAAGGAAAATTTGTGATATACCCACTCCATTCCTCGGGAAAGGCTTTACTTTTAAGAATTTCCACAACTGCTGAATACTAGGTTAATGTAGTCTGATGAGCGAAAATCAAGTTTGCTAAAAAGTAATGACCTTGACCCATATTCAATGTAACTGAGGTGACAATATTTTTTTTCAATAAACTGTTAGTTTGCTGGCTCTGAGTGATATGAACTTTGTGAGAAAAGAAGTTGTTCATGTCACAGGTCAAAGGGTCAAATAGTGATGAATTCTACTGTAAATCAATAAGTGTAAACATAGAGGGGTAGTGATAGCTCAGTCACTTATGTAACCTCAGGTGTAGATCTGAAGTGCTCATTAAGACGCCTCCTACCTGTGTCAGTTTGTGTTTCACATCTTGTGAAACAAATTATCCTGGGTGCTATTGTAAACTTTGGCAAGACATTTTAACGTAATTGCTCTGGATGGCATGCAACAGGCCTCCCGATATCTTGTTCAGTGGGGAAGCCACTAGTAACAAGGAGATCCTGCGTAACAATGACCCTGACTGTTCATGGGGCAATTAAATCAGCCAAAAGTTAATATGCTTAAAGTTTGTTTAAATCACTTTCTGCCATCTTTGTAAGACAATTATGAACTTACAGTTAAAATTGAATACTGGGTAAGAAATGCAGGCCAATATGGCCTCTTGTTTCAAAACAGTCTCAAGATTTTGCATGTGTGACTAGGGACCATTAACATGAAATATGAGAAGGGTCCCTATTAAACCAATATGAACAAACACTAACATTCCAAACCCAAGATGAGGCTGTTGCCAAGTTAATTTTTTTTCTGATCAATCTGAAAATTAAACACACAGAAATGAAAAAGTGGAACCTACATGTGAATATATCATGTGGGGTCTCCTGTTGATAATTACACATTATTGTCAAACTTGCATTGAGCTAGTTTCTTATATGCCAACGAAGGAACAAATATCAAAGCACAGGTACAAAGAGACATCTATATTGCAAGTGTCTAGGCTGACTGTGCTGGGATTACTACACTGTCATATGAGACGGGGACTCCATTTAATGGCTGGTGGCTATCTCACTGAAAAGCATATTGGAGGCCCCTTACATGGAGTCCTTTACATTGGAGTTAAAAGTGTCCCTGCCTAAGAAAACAACTGTGGCAAAAGAGATCAATTAATTTCCCAGCTACCCTTAGAAACACAAACTGTCACAAGTTTGGAACATTGAACTATACACCTTGGATTTCCACCTGAGGTTACGTAGACCAACACCCTACTGACCAAGTCATTTTGTCCCCTATCTTTACGTCGGCTAACATACAAACAACAACACACTTACAGGATATTCACTTAATATTCATTTATACTTATAAGACATTTGTAAACAAATTCAGATTCACATATCAAGAACATAGTGTCTTGTAAAATACCATTAATTCCAACTCAGTATTTATGTGTGGATTCAAACTCAAGCTATTCCAAAATATTGAAAGTATTAATGTGGCATTGCACACAAATTTTACCGCTTTGAATTTAACTGTACTTGGTGTTTGAGCTACTTCTTTTTAAAACACCATCAAAGTACTGAAACTGATCATCTATCATTAACAGAAAGCCAATGACAGCAAAAACTACTTTTGTCATATCACATTTGATTGGCTAGGAGAGATTTGTGTCCTCAAGTTTCATTGGTCTCTATCTGCTGCATCCTCAGAACCACAGGTACAGAGGTACAGGGAATAAGTCCGAGTTCTGTTATCACCAGAGACACAAATTCCTGGGGCATAACATCATACACAAGATTTAGCAAGGTCAAGGACGTGTGATCTCTCCAATGTGTCAGGTATTGTGTCTTGTTGCCGATGGATACCAGATCCTCCGGGTCACCTGTAAAATATAATTGCGATAATTCACAATGGAAACTACTGAACAATTTAAAATAAATTTAAAATGTCCAGTACAACACATATAGTCTAAAATGAAATTATAATATTTTCATTTGCATTTCATAGTCTCTAGATGAACCTACCAATCCCAATGTTCTTACAAAGGCACATGGTGTGTGCGGTCGTATCATTAGATTAACAAAGAGCAGGTTACATTGTTTGTTGTGATCCAAAAATTTTCAGATGAGATAAAACTCTAGATGTGATGTTACATGATATATACATCTAAATAAAAGTTTAACCATTTGCTCGCCAAATTATTTTGTTGTGGTTTGCATTGTCAATGACGCCATAGTTGTGCTGCCTTAGGGTTTAATTGGGAACATATACGTGTATGCATCAAGCTATATGAGCTACCCCACAAGTAAATACACTTCATTGCAAATACAGAAAATTAATTACAATCCTCGAATGTGAATTATGTTGGTATATGTGTTTGAGCAAGTACACCGAGTGTCATTACACATTGTCAAATGCCACGTTTGGGACTTCACAATCATTATCTTTACTATCACAATGATCTTACATAAAGATTTACAGTCATGGTGTTGTTAAGTGTTACACTGTGTGTGTGATAAAAATCTGGAAGATTTAGCATTATTTTATTGTGCTAAGAGCCTTGTTGATACAAAGATACATAACGAAGACCAAATTAGAAAATGTCCATCAGACATGAATGTCCTAACTCCTATACAAATCAGTGTCTTCTCAAGTGTAGAATTTTATGTTGTACTTATTGGGTAAATCTGTTAAAGAGTCTCTCAAATTACAACGTTGCTTTGGAATGGGAGGGGAGGGATGGGATGTGGTGATGGCATAAAATAAACAAAAAATACTTACCTAGTTCATTAAATACAAAAGAGTCTGTTTGACCTCTCTCACAGAACTTGTAAGTCTCGCAGCAGACAAGGACAGGTATGTTGTAGGATTTGGCAATGAGAGCAATAAGAGAAGAGCCTACCCTCGACATGACACACCCATTGGCTAGTAATGCATGGGCGCCCAGAAACACCTTGGTGGCCTATAAAAAAAACATATTTATCATCAAGGGGGTAAAATTTTCAATCTTCTCTAAAACTGGCAAATTGAGGAAAGCATGGAAATGAAATTGCATCAATAACATATACTGTAGTCTCACAGATGTCTTCAGATAAAATATAAAGAAATGTTCACTATATGTATGTCTTTACTGTCTTTATCCTAAAATAATCATGCCTCCCCTAGTGTAAAAGTTTAGTATTGAAGTTTAGGGAGGACTTGTTTCTGAACCACTCTTAACTTACTATTTCAAAATTATTAGACTTAAAAATCATATCCTTTTTATGAAATTGATTGGGTATTAAATACTAAGTTTGACGGATCACAACAAAATACCTTAATATATATTTGAATCAATCAAGATATGTTCATCATTGACAAAAATAATATTACAAATTAACAAAGGGCAATAACTCTTGAAAATCTGGCCATGGGTCAAACTTAGAGTACATATTATGATGCAATGCTATCTCAAGGTAATCAGATACATACTTGCATGTTACGTGAATTTGGCAGTTTTACATGCAGTATATCAGATATATACACAAATGAACATTCTGAACATAACAAGTGCCTGGTATAGTGTTCGGAAACATTTTAAACGTTTACTCACAGAGGAAGGGAAAGTTCTCATATTTTTCTCTCTGCATTGCTAAATTTTCAGTATATTTTTACCCGACTGAACAAGTCTTTATCAGAATTGAGGGGGTCAGACAGTACAGTTTAGCACATACTGTCAGTATGTGAAACAGTTTGGCACACACTATCGGTATGTGAAACAGTTTGGCACACACTGTCGAGAAATAGTATAACACACACTGTTGGTATGAGAAAGAGTATAACACACACTGTTGGTAAGTAAAACAGTATAACACACACTGTCGGTATGAAACAGTTTGGCACACATAGTATAACACACACTGTCGGTGAAACAGTTTGGCACACATAACACACTCTGTTGGTATGTGAAATAGTTTGGCACACACTGTCGGTATGTGAAACAGTTTGGCACACACTGTTGGTATGAGAAATAGTATAACACACACTTTTGGTAAGTAAAATAATGGTCAATAACTGTGTCATTTTTATAGGTACTCATATAAATTGATGAAGAACAGATTTTTGTGCAAACTTAATTACATTTCCCTAGGGTAGAAACAACGGGGAAATAGATGTTATAGTCCCAGACTGGAATTGCTCAAGAATAATTTTATGTACTTACCTCTTGCATGACATAAGAGGCTGCATTCATGAGAACATAAGAACATTTGATACCGTCCCTTACAAGTTTCCTCAACATCTCCCGACCTATAGCAATATGGAACACAAGTTATTCACGCTTAAAATTATTGTAGGACATAAATCTCCGATAAAATTACGATTGGATGTTTTACAACTAAAATTTAATTCAAAATAATTGTCGTCTCAACTTACTTCCTGGTTTTAAATACACATATTTTTATCTTATTATTAAACATTAATCCTCTTGGAAACAAAATGCTGTACCTGAAAACACAGCTTTATACCATGGCAATTAGGCCGACGGACACTGAAAGAGATCACTTAAAAACTGTGGTAGAAATCTCTTGTCAATTAAAAGTTCATGACAGACAGTTATAAACCATAATATGATCTGTCCAATTTTTAGACCTTTACAAAATTTTTCAATAAAATTGCCAACTCGTCAATATTTACCTTCCATCCGCGGTTGACCATCTACTACAATGACTCGAAAATGTACCTTCCTTTTGTGGGCATCACAGAGAACTTTCTTTACTAGTGACGAGCTAAAAGTAAACAACATGTGTTTTTTTTTGTTTTAGTTGTATTCGAGGGTACCCTTAGTCCACAATTTTAGATGTCCATGAAATGTTACAATTAGGTTTAAGTAGATTTATCAGTTATCCATGAGATTTTTTGAAAGATGATGATGATTAAGCCTTATGAAATTATATGGTTTTATAGGCTTAAAATGCCTGATAATAATTAATAAAAATAATAAAATAAATTATAAATAATAAAATAAAAAAATAATAATTTTCTAATCAAAATTATTTGTATATAATGTAATGTCTGCTTCAATACCAGTTAGTTAGACATACAAGAGGCCATTAGGCCATATACTGCTCATTTGGCACTGTTTGGGTGAAATAGATTCATCCAAACAAAAGGAAAAGAATTTCGAAATTACCAAACACATACTACAATGAATATCTATTGCCTCTTTTGGCCCCACCTCTCCAATCCCAGGGGCCCCAAGACCTTCACACAAGGATAATGAAGACCAAATTCTGGCAAATCCAATCATTCCTATTGAAAGAGTGGGATTTAAAAAAAAAACTGCTCTATTTCCCCTATTGGGCCCCACCACAATACTTTCAGATGACAGAAAATCTACAAAACTTACAATTATATAGTCCATAACTACATTCAGTAAATACCATATTGCTTCAATGACTTTTATTTACACCATTTAAAAATCTATAAATGTACATGGCAACAGCTGGAGTATTGCTGTAATTAATCTTTTATCAATCAAAGCATTCATATTTTTCACTGTACTTTACGTAAGGTAAGGTGAAAACTCTAACATTTGAGTTTTTCATCTCTAATCCTAAAGAAAGAGAAACAAAAAGGAAAAAAAAGCAGAATCTCACCTTCCAAATACTACTATAACATCTCCATGTGCAATTTTCTTCTCATCCTTCACATATTTAGAGATGGCATCACCAGCAAGCAAAATTTTTTCTCTCACAAAAATGTCAATACAATCTGCGAGTGCTTTCTTTGCCTGAGTGAAACAACACAAATCTCTGTATAAACCTCAATGATAATTCACTGTGACACAAACAAGGGTCCCCATGGACTGAGTATTTATGTGATGATAAAAATGTATAACACATTATTTATTAGGACAGTTGAATTTGGAAATGTGTTGAAACGGTTGGTATCAGTTATCATCTGGGCTGGGTTTTTTTCATATAAATGATATATTGTTTTGTTTAGAAATTATTGTGGACCATATTTTGTATTGTCTCTCATAAACCTAAACCATACTTATCTCCTTACCACTTAATCACATCAAAATTTAAAAGATAGTATTTCATATGTACTGTAGATATACATCTAAAAAAGGGTTTTGTTAAATCTCTATGTGCAATTCAGTACTGCTAACTAAATCAACAGTTTTGTAGAGGTATAAAACCACATTCAGACACATTTCTCTCTGCTCTTTTAAAAATGAAATCTACCAAAGGACATGAATGTTTAGAATTCTGTAAATAAAACTATAGAATATCTAACTTAACATTTGATCCTTATATCCCTACACTTCAAGATTTTTTCTAGTAAAACAAAGGAAACATACAATCCTGACAAAATGTACCCATATTATTGTAAATATAAAAGATCTCAAATGAAGTCCTATGTCTATATAAAACATGAGGCCTTGTGGCCTTGACCTTCACCTGAGGTAAGCAAAATTGGATATAAAGGTTAAAGGGCAAGCAGTGAAAAAGAAATTGCAACATTGATGATAGTAAGCCAGTGTCAATACATGCATACTATCAAAACTATAATCCTATACAAATAAATCATACAAAGGTTTTCCATTAGGAAATAAACAATGTCATGCTCCAAAAATGCTATTTTTCTATGAAAGTTACAGTAAAGTTAACCTCCTTCCAAGGTCATAGGTCATCGCAATAAGTCACCATGAAACTTTGTCTCAGGAGACCTAATATATCAGAGGGATCTTGGTGCCCACCATTGTTTGATCTTTATTTGCTCTTCGAATGTTGGATCTTTTCCCCTCTTTTCACCTTTCTTCTCTGATTTTGCTCTGAATGATAAGACATTCGAAGATGCCTTTGCAGAAATAGCCATGATAATCTTTACCTGTCAAATCTAAACTGGCCGACTGGAAGCCATTTTGTTTCTTCTGATCAAATGAGCGCAAGGAGAGATGAAAGAGAACATACAAATGAAATTTGAGAGATATTCACTCAGTACTTCTTAAGAAATAGCAATAACAATCTTCACTAGGTAAAATCAAAGATGGCTGCCTCTCGGCCATTTTGTTTTTCTGATCAGTCCCAAATTCAAACAGGCACAACAGAACAGGGACCTAAAGGAACCTATACAAGAAATTTGAGAAAGATCTATAAAGAACTCCTTAAGAAACAGTGATAACAACCTTTCTAAATTAAAATCCAAGATGGTCGCCTTTTTGCCATTTTGTTTTTCTGATCAGTTCCCAAAATTACATGGGCATAACCAAGGATCAACACGCCTACATATCAAAGGTTCAATTTCTGGAAAAGACATGAAAAGGTATAGGGACACCTGTCTGACCAGGTGGGTTTTCTCTGGTTTCTGCCTACAGTAAAACCCTTTGCAACCTTCCATCCAGGCCAACCAAAGTGATTAATATAAGTTGAAAAAACTTGTTTCAAAATTGTTGTGATATTAATAAAGTTTACTTATTTCATCAAACAAAAATGTGTGTATTTAAACAACTCACCTCAATTTCAGTACTTTCTCGTGGTATATGTGAAATATTCCACTTTAAGTATTTTATTGCATTCCCCATACTAACAGAAATCAGTCGGCACTGGTTCAAGAAACTGAAAAAAAAAATCACATTGTTCATTATCACAAAAAGAAAGCAAAACAATACAAAACAATTTTGATGAAAACAAGATCAAATGATGGTAGGCAGCCATTTTGAATACTGTATTATTCACAAAATGTGATAAGACAACCAGAATCTATACTGACAATTTTAAGTTTAATTAGGACCCCTGAAGTGGCTCTAGAGAAATACTGATCACAAACTTAGGGTGCCAAAAATTCTCAGTAGTGACTGGCAGCCATCTTGAATGTTAGATCATTCTCAAATATAAAAACATTGGATATCTCGGTGTGAAATCTGCGGAGATAAATTTTCCATCAAAGTATGAACAGATATTGCTATACGATTGCTCCAAGAAATTAAAAAAGCTTGTTCCATTTTAGGCGACTCATATAATCATGAAGTGAAACATTATAGGCTACTTATGAATGGAGTTACACGTATTACAGCTGACGATCACTCACCTGATGTAAGGCTTGATACGGGCTTCGAGATCTCGGGATAACTCTTTCTGAGGAGGTGTTACGTAGTCCGTGATTACCTTAAATCAATAAAGGAGTAAGCAACATTTATCCTTATCTTAGTTTCCTTTAAAGACAATATCATATGATTATAATAAACATGTAACCCTGGTAAAATACTAGCCGCAATATACCACTCGGCTAGAGGGAACTTCTCTTTAGCTCGATTGGTTGAGCGTCAGACTAGTAAGCCAGGGGTCCCGGGTTCGAATCCTAGCAGAGGCATTGAAATGAAAAATGACCTCTGTTACAAACAAATCATCAAATGTCTTTTAATATTAACATCCAACAGCAGGTTTTTAAGATTTATGGGTAAAAATTCCTATTTAAACATTAAGGATCACCAGTAAATATGTACTTACACCTCAATGTATCATACACTTCCAAACAGACACATAACAAGAGGCCCATGGGCCTTAACGGTCATCTGACATAAAATACAAGATTTCAAATTTTGAACTTGAGAAGAAGTGGAAAATGTGTTTTCAAGATGTGGCCATGGTGACCATGTTGGATTTCGGACCAACTTGAAATTAACAAACTTTGATCAGGATCATGTCACGATCATTTCAGGTAAGTTTCAGCTCAATGATACATGTAGAACTTCAGAAGAATTTGAAAATGTTTACGATGGACGACGGACGCCGCCGGACAAAAGGCAATCGCAATAGGTCATCAGACCCTTCGGTCAGATGACCTAAAAATCAAAGTACTGAAAGTTCTGTATGTCCAAATGAAAAAAGACACACAGATAAATAGCACCATGTCATGTGACAAGATATATGCTGTTGATTTCAGGTGATCCTTTGTTGTCTGCCGTTTGATTGTGAAAGATTGAGTACCTTTTTATGATACCCCAGCAGGACATTTCAAATATCTACATTAAAGTATACCACAATACACAATGTCTAATCTGTATTTTCAACCTGTATATTTATAAGTGAAACTTTGTCTAATCTGATGGTCTATTGCACAGCAAGGTTGTGTGATGGCGATATAATTTTCAAATTATGACATGGAAAGACATAACATATTTTCATTTATTTTAATCATAACAAGAAAACATTTAGAATGTTTCCATTTTATTCTATTTTAGCTTTGATATCATTGGTCCAATGAGTTCTCTTTATGCTGCACTCTTCGGAAATTACACCTTCTGGAAAATAAATCTTAATGTTTCCCAGGAAATTGGGCCTTATGATACATAATATTAATCATTTTTAAATAAAATTTTTGCAAAGGTATATTTTTCAGATAATTCATACTAATGGTGTTATATCTTTCTGTAACAGAACATTTTAAATTTCTTTGTGATTTCCTTTATCCAATGACAGCAGCTCTGTATAGATTAAATGGTGTCACCTGTTTAAATGCAGCGAGCATGGCCAGACAGCGAGCATTGGACCCTGTGATGATTCCTTCAGCATACTGAACACCAAGTTTGACAACGGTGGGGTGGATACTACTGTTTGTAGAAAACCTGGATGAAAAATGAGGAAATTGTAAGCTTGGTATTATTTAACAGGACAGGATAGGTATGTGGGAGTGTTAAACTATCTGGTTATGACCTGTTCATACTACGGTGAAGAGGTCAAATTCAGGTTCACATGTGAAACAATTTCGAGAAATTTTCATTAATGTTAATTCTCTGAGTTAACCCAAGGAGCCAAAGGTTGAGTTAGCAACACAAACAAGATTTCAAGTCTTCAACCATCATATTTTTTTAGTATTTTTCAGCTGCTATCTGCATCTAACTACATGTAAAAGATCAAATTCCATCTAACCTGAAACCAGGAAAAAACAAGGTCTGTTACACAATGTTTTGTATTTTAATTTACAGTACAATGACATTGGTATTCAACATCCAATGCAGCTCAAGATGATGCTTGATGTACTGAACATGTTCATTTGGCTTCAAGGTGTTTCTTTTTAATAAGCAGCTCTTCAGAAATAGTGGTAAAAACTTGAAATGTCTATTTTTAATATTCATTGAAGTTCAAATTGCTGCAAGCAGAACGAAGAATAGTATAAGGCTGAAGTCTTAAAAGAGATTTCAACTCTTTTACAGAAATACTGGTAACAAGAAATTATTTATGGGGCAAACTGATGAGTGACATATGGATGGATGAACAATCAGAAAGCTCAGATTGATATTTCAATATTGGCCACAAACATTAATCTAAAATTTTAAGTTTTGAGGAAATGCTGATAATATTTCCTAAATTGCAGTTAACTATATTTGGTAATTTTCTGTATTTCCTTCGGAAGATTCCTGCCTGAAATTAGCTGACAGAACCCCATAAAAATACCTACTTAAGGGAACTGGTTAAGGAGGACTGCCGTTCATATTGGTGTAAATGGTTAAATAGTCGGACTTTGCGTTGTGTAGAAGTCCTCTGTGGTATTTGCTGTTTTTCTAATTTCTTTGCCACTTTTTTCTGGATTTCTGCATCATCAGCCTTGAGGTGGTCAGGTACTCGTTTAGGTTCCTTTTTTGTGACACCAGATGGTGCTGTTTATGAAATACACGTTGAAGAAACAATATGTAAAAATTCATACCTGTGGTTATGGAAAGCTGGACACTGATAATGCACAAACTATTGTTTTCATAAACAATAAAGTGATGTTTACTATACATCAAGATCATACTTGTTAGATTAAGGTAATTTAAAAAACATGTGTGGAATCATGCTTTTTATAGACATGTTGAATATAGTTATCATAGTTCAAATTATAAAATGCATTCAACAACAGGAAAATAGACTGGATTTATACAAATGAAATATAAAAAATATTTCAAAATTTCAAATGCTTGCCAAAAAACAAATACCCCCAACTCCTCCCCTCCCCCTAAAAAATAAGACATCTGAAACCTATCTAAACTGGCAAACAAGCTCTTTCAGGCAAAAGCTTTTCCTCAAAATCACCAGTATACAATGTTATGCTATATGTCCTCTTTGAAGTACATATTAGCTTACTTTTTTATTCTTATCTCAGCATTAAATTGATGTTTATGAAGAACCATGTAGTATTATACCTGCTGACAAAATACTGTTCTCACCTGGTCCTGACTGCCCACTCTCCTTTCCTGCTGCTGCAGCTGTTTTGGCTGCTTGTTTTGCTGCCCTCTGTGCTTCCTAAACATCAACAATATCAGCAATTATACATATAGCTTAATACCATCAGTGCTTATCTTTCAGCAAAACTAAAACTTTTACATGAATGAAGAATTTAGAGTTGACAAAAGCAATAGATTTTAAGCAAAACAAATAAATTTTCGGAAGTCATGAATCTGACCTCACTCCTATATATTGGATTGGTATATAGGCATAACCATACATTTTTCCTACAGTATGCAAATCCATATACCTAGTATCATCTATACCTCTATCTTAGGATGAATGGTGAGAACAAAAACAAATCTGATTTTGTGGTGTATATTTACAGCATAATTCTTGTTTACATATATGTATTACAGTAAAATCATCAGTGTCATCTGAGAGGAAGTTTTCAAACAAATCTCATTTATATGTTCCTGTTTGAAATATGAATATTTCTGGAAACACATTTTCAAAAAATTTTTGATTAAGAATGACTGTAGCCTCCAAGCACATGCCTGCTTAGCTCTCCTTTCTGCTTTTAGTTCTGCCTTCGACTTCTGTGGAACTCCATCTGCTGGTTGACCTTGACCTTTATTTGCCTGGTTATCATTGCCTTTATGATCATCAGCTTGACCTTTTTCTTTGTTATCTTGACCTTGATTCGTCTGATTATGAACTTTATTGCCATCCCTTGGAGACACAGGTTTTTTGTCCTTCTTTTTATCTTTCTTTTTTGAACTTCCTTGCTGCTTTGGCTGCTCTTTTTCTGAGGGATGACTCTGATCCTTGTCCTTTCTTAACACTGGATTGACATCCTGGGTTTTTTCTGGTTCTTTCTCTGCCATTTCCTCAAATTTCTATGAAAAAAATAAAAATAACATTCAACTTACAAATCATTTTTACAATTCCTAAATATGCAATTTTCACATTTAGGCAATGTCTCAGACTTTAGTAATATGATGAGATATTGCAGATATACAAAATTGACATATCAGTCTGTTGCTAATGATATAGAAAAGGAAAAAAAGAGATTAAGAATTCAGTGTAGCTTATTAAATAAGGGAAATACAAGTTTCTTCGATGCCTATCTGGTGCTAAGATAATGTGACAGTCTTATTTGACCACTTCAAGAATTTAGACAAAAAATCGGTAGGATGAAAATAAGGGAAATAGAGGTTGAAAGGACACATAGCAGTTCTGTCAAATCCAATGATATCCCTTCGTAATCAATCAGCAGTAGTGCTATAACAGATCTGACGCTTAAAGCTTGGCCTATTCATGTAAGATAAGGTGAGATTTAAGGGCCATTGTTCGAGACTTCTTCCCCATGGAGCTTAGTAATTCTCTGGAAACTGAGAAACAGACCTCTGGCATGATTGGAGCCTTGGCCTTTATGGCTTTACCATAATTGCTTTACCGTTATACAAAACTCGTGTCGCAAATTCAAAGAAACACATGTAAGGATTCCCTCCTGGCGAAAGACTATATATGTGACATGTGAAATCGCGGTTATAACACGTTTACTTGAAGCTTACATTCTCGGCATGAAAGCACTATATGTGTAGCATACGTCGTTGACTTACGTTTAGGTTGAACTGATGAAATATGGTCGAAATAATCGCATACAGCGATCAATTTAGCAACTTCCGGGGGTTTCCCCATGCAACTTCCGGTGTTGATAAATTTAGTTACGAGACGAGCCGTGGCCGGGTATAGATGCCCTCGCTGATGTACAGTATACTTTTTTCCTTTTAAATTACAATTTCGGGGAATTTTGGGTATTGTGAGTGAAACGTGAACTGCAGAACTGTGATTAAACCCAATCAAAAACTTTTGAATGGTTAGATAAAAGTATGATGTATGTAATAATCATTTAACAGTGTACTCTATAATTGTCATACGTATATATATATAAGATATACTCAATTACGTATAACACGTACCTGGTTTACGAGAAGAAAATAATTATTGTAAAACAAAAGTCCAAAGGATTTTAACATCCTTAATACTTTTATCATGGGCTTAAACTGATTTGGCATACAAAGTTTAAGTCAGGAAAGCCGTAAATATCTTTGGTTGGTATTTGCATATAGTTATCGGCCATGGTTTTATTTAAGTGCATGCTACATATTTTACAGAATGAAAAAACCTATGATATAATACCAAGGCCTCATAATTTGTAAGGGATATTTTAGTAATGTTTGTTTATTGCCAAGTTTACATCCATGTTGATAGAGCCGCAATGGCGTTTGGGTCAATTGGTCTGTTATTTGATGATTGCGATGTCGTAATTTCATTCAAGAAATGTACCGATGAACTACGCTACCATATATGGTATACAAACTGACACACTCGACTACTTGTCATGGACAGCCACCGTTTCAACCCACCACGTGTCAATCGCCACAGAAAAGACCTTACGCTGAATTGATGTCCAGATGTACATGTGTTCTTGCAAAAAGTTTATGTTTTGCATTTATTTATTTATTTATTTATTTATTTATTTATTTATTCCGAACGTGAAAATATTTTAAATATCCTCTGCCACTGTACAAGAAGCACTCAACAAAGTCAGCCGATTATCACTTTACTGTCAAATTTCTTTGTTAAATCTTTGACTCCATCACAGGAGCCCTTACCACGGTAAGATTACATGGTCATGGTCAAGAAGCTTTAAGCGTTAACATTGAAGTATTTTATTTTTGTTCCTATAATTGCCTACGACATGCAATGACGTAATGCTTATAAATTGAAACATGGCGTTTTATCATACATTCAGCTCATTTTCAGCTAAGGATTGCCCTATATTTCGGGACCTCAAATAAATATAGAACAGAACAATACCTTATAGTAAGTAAATGATACCTGCTTCCAGGATTTTCAATCTTTCTCATGTTATCCCAAGCCAGTCCCCCCACCCCCACCCCCCATTTTTTCAGTCTGTGGATAAATATCGATATAACAAGAGAACATCTTTAGAACTCCAATCTATTTTAGAAACGTGAAAAGTCCTGATCAACGTATAAAGTAAATTGTAACAGGAAATAGTAATGAAGAAAAAAGTCCCCTTTGGATTTCAAGCTATTTACCTTTCATTTTCTTGCTAGCCATTCTACCGCTTGATTAACTGTGGTGACTTGTGCAATTTACCGTCTATGTATACACTTTGCCATAAGATCCTCAATATCAGCATGAAAGCTGTAAAAAAAAAAACTGACATTTCCTTTTATAGAAATTAATCTTGTAGCACTCCTTGCTTTTAGACCTAGATCTATTCTCCTGATACTGCACAAAAATGTTTAAATTTTCCATATATCGACATTATTTCTTTGAATTTGAGTTTCAACTAAAATTATGTTTTCATATAGGTAAGTTTTTTGTTGTTTCTATTTTTAGTAACATACGATCTTAGTGACCTCCCTGTGCTGTTTGGAGTTTTTTACAATACGATAATCGTTACAGTGACCTACCTTTCAATTCACAGCACACCGCTTGTAGGTGTTGTCAGTAAGTTGAATGCTTCATCATAATATCATAAGGTTTCAAAAGGCGGGGTCCACACAAGACAGTTCTGAAAAGTTACCACTCATCTCTGATATTAGCAAGCAAGCGAGAGAATAAAACCTGATAATTTACGAAAAACACAAGACTAATTAAGTAAGGGCAAAATATAACCAACAAAAAGATCTATTCGGATATTCGTATATTATATTATTGTATATTATACAATTTCAAGATGATACGACCAGGTGTTCCGGTAGTGCAAATACATGTCTTCGTCTTCTAGAAGAGAAGCTATTATAACACAGTCAGTAGAATATGACTTATGTGTATGACGTTTCACTTCCGTCGACTGGTTGTGTTTTAAGAACCTTTATTCTATTGACATTACCAGCCTAAAGGAAATATTCTAAAATGTATTCATCCTCTGCTTTATCGAATCATAGTGTGATGTCAAGTTCGCAGATGATGCAACAATGCAGCTACCAAGCAAAGAACCAGGCATAGAAAGCTAAATGAGACGTAAAGCACACTGACTGTTTGTGTTGGCAATTATCTACAATGTACGGATATAATTGACAAAATGTACACTAATATATAGTGCATTAAAAGTAGACCATCAGGTAAGGAGATATAAAAAACAACAACATTAAGATGATTCAAGATCCTAGGCAGTGAACATGCAAGTGCTGTATGTACGGAGCAGTCATATGTAAAGCTACAAATGTCATTTATTAAAATGTTGAAGATCAGAGGTCCTACTATAGAACTCTAAGGGACACTTTTCACAACATCAGCTCAGTCGCTGGTCACGGGCTCCAGTCTGACCTGCTGCTGTTAGCCATTTAGGTAGCTGCTGCTGAAGTCAATAGCCGACTTACCTAACCGATAAGCATGAAGCTTTCCAAGTAGCAGTTGATGAGGAATTCAGTTAAATGCCTTGGACAGATCCATCAAAATCGCACCAGCATGCTGATGGTTGTCCAAGGTCTGCCTCCAGTCCTAAAGGGCTCGCAGCAGGGCAGACTGGCTCCCATAACCACTCATGAAAGCTGCCAAGATAGGACTTAAAACAGGTTTCAAAATTTTACAAGGCTCGTCATATATGATCCCGTCAAATATTTTGGATAAAGAAGGTAAAATACTGACAATTGTCAGCAAATAGTGTGCGAAAGAAATTTAGTTCTCTGAGATAGCTTGCCATTCATTGGCTAGTGTAGCTAATGGGATGTCGTCATCATCGCCTGAAATATCACTCACCGTGCTCACGACCTCAGATTCCGGCCTTCAGTATTGAACTGAAGTAGGTGTGACACACTTCCACACGCGATATAGACGGTCAAAGGCATGTCGAACATTGATTTCAGGAGTTACAATTTTCAGAAGTCAGGAATCCGCGATATTTTTATTTCGAATTGTTTGTTATACCCTGGTTCATAGGTTGGAATCGATATCGTGTTTGGAGGGAAGAATACAAGTTTGATTAACTTCAACCCCTAATAGAGCTAAACAATGAATTACGTCCTTCTAGGTCTTGTCAATGATGCTAAGGGTGTTAAGTTTGAAACCTAGGAGCTCGTGGCGTCCAAAATGATCACAAGAGAGTAAAACTTTTGATAGGAAACATAATTCCTCATAATTCCAGGTCCTTCTAGATATTCTTCTGTTCTAAGATAGGTATAACGGCTCTTCCAGAAAGAAAAAAAAAAATTGAAAATGAAAATAAGAAAAAGGCATTAGTTTTTAAAATAAATAAGTGAAAACACATTAGTTCGTAAGGGATGATATTACACAAATCAATTCTTTATTTCAAAGATAATTGCTTTAGAACATGACAATTATTGAAAAGAAAACGTACGAAAATTACAGAAAAACCTTTGAGAAATATATTTTAAATCTGCTCAAGATAAAATCTATCATACATGTACATAGATTGTGGTATAAGATCTCACAAAAAATCACACTCTAGTAAGATATTTAAGAATTGTCCAACAGTCAAAATAATATCAGATTTACTAGTTTTACTCATAACAGTTTAAATAACGTCATATCAATACAACAATCAAACAGAAAAGTTCCGAATCGGACACAACACATGTCATGACATCTCTGCACCTGCGAGGGACATACAAACACCTAATATAAAGGTAACATCCATCACATAAAACTGAGAGGTTTGGATTACCCTACATACTCTTCACATATGTAAGGCAAATATTCATTTGAGCTTTCACCATAAAATTCGCCTGTCTTTTTAATCACTATGTCATGTTGATTATCGTTGTCATAACCTGGGGTTGGTGATACAGTTGCGCCTGTGCTCCATGTGAATTCAGAACTCGCACCTTGTCTTGAGCCATCTATCCACCATTTTGTAAACTCTGTATCACAACAATAATTGTTGAATGATTACTTGCAATTAGAAAATAAATAAGGCACGATATTCTAGTAGATGATCATGTTTAAGAAATACATGATACTGTCAAAAGGGGAAATGTATAACACAGGGTTAACTATAAGCATGTCTGCCTTTTGTATTATACTACACAATTGTTTGCTCAATTCAGTATAGACATATAAAGTTATACTAATACTTCATAGTGGTTTTATAAGCAATTCTTTTCACATGATATAGTGAAATAATATGTTATAGTCAGGCTACAACTTCATGTTTAAGAAATGAATTTTCGTTGGTACTTGTTTTTTTCTTCAATCTACTCCGATCTTTTTTCAAGGTCACAGGGCCAAGTTGGTTGAAACTCTCAATATTACGTCTCATTTAGCAAAATGCGTATAATAATGATTTTTAAATGGTCGATTTCTGGTGAAAAGCGCGAAAATGATTAGTAAGAAAATGACATTTTCCCGTATTCAATGCATAGGGATAAGATTTGTTAAAATAAAAATGTCTGAAAGCAAAAGTGTTTTTTTATGATATACAAAAGGAAGTAGTATCTTCACATTCAAACGATATGTTTAATGCATCGTTACAAAGATGACAATAATATTGACTTATACGAGGGGTCACAGATGTCATGTTTGTTAAATCATCCAGAAGGCATGGTATGCATGAATATTCTTAAATTATACCATGATATTTAACCAGCTTGTTTGTATTGAATGTTAGGATATTTGTTCAGGGTAAGAGTGAAAAG